AACTCTTCTAGTCTTCAGAATTTTAGCAAAATTGATGTGGTGCCTGTGATAATACCAAGAACTAGCTCAGGACCAGAGCTGGCTACTGATTCTAGGAGTGATGCTGCTGATGTGGGCCCTGTTCTTTCTAAGAGTGGTAGAAGAATAGAGATTGCAAATGATTCTAGGAAAGAAAGTTCTGATGTGGCAGCAGCTGTTGTTCCCAGAACAAACTCTAGAACAGAAATGGCCTCTGATTCAGCACCTGTTGTTGGTCCCAGAGCTAACTTAAGAATGGAAGTAAGCGCTGACTCGGCACCTATTGTTCCCAAGTCAGGCAGAAGGTTAGAGTCTTCTGTTGAATCTAGGAAAGAAAGTACTGATGTAGCATCTGCTGCTGCTCCGAAGACTAGTTCACGGATGGAAGTGGCCCCAGATTCTGCACCTCTTCTTTCTAAGGCAGGCAGAAGGGTAGAGTCTGCTACTGATTCAAGGAAAGAAAGTGCTGATGTGGCACCTGTTGTTCCCAGAACAACTTCTAGAATGGAAATGGCTCCGGATTCTAGGAGAGAAATTTCTGCTGGAAGAATGTCACCGTTTAGGGTCCAATCAAGATATAGTGAACTACGAAAGTTAAATAATGCCAAAGCTGATGCAGATAAAGTTGATGCAGGGAGCAAAAACAGTGAAACAGATGATTTTACTTGTCAAATATACCTTCCTCGGAGGAATGGTGTTGTTCAGTCTGGAATTTCTGAAGAAACCCGGGAAGATGCAAAACCTGGTGTGATTGACAGGATGGGATTTCCAAGTTCTGCTGAACCAAATACACACCGCAGTGAGAATTGTATGCCCTGTACCCTCAACTTCCATACCGGATTTACACACTGCTACAATTTAGTTCAAATACTATTCAACAACATTAATGGTGCTTGATTTCCTTGCCTGTCTGTATATTTTAGTCATAATACATGAGTCTTTTGGTACTGTAGATTTCAAAGCTCATGTAGATCCATCGAATCTTTATGTGATTTAAACCATAGTTCCATGTCCTTACACTCAATCAAGAATAATGTTAGTAACTGAATTTATCTGTTTGAGGTGTTGCGTTGTATAGTTAGATATTTGCATGTTTCGTGGTCATCAGCTGAGTCTGATTAATCAATACTCACTTTGCTACATGTTACCTGGGAAATGTATGGGTTGGCATATCTTATGTTCTGATTCTTTTGAGAAACATGCTCTCTGCTCTTGTTGAGTTATTATCCTGTGTTTCGGCGAAAAAAGTCTCTTTTCTTTGGTAAACTAGTAAATTGTAACTGCTTTGAACATTGGTACTCTTTTTGTAGATGTTTCTAGAATGCGTAAGCCAAGAGATAACTGCTATATTGAAGTTTCAAGAGCAGGTAAATGTTTTACTACCCTTAGGTGCTTGCAATAATTTGTTCAGCTGGTTTTAATCTTGAAGTATCATGTAGGAAGAACAAGGCCAACTGCTTCTAATTGGGAAAGCAGAGATCAGTCACCTGGTAATGAAGAACCGACAACAAGCAATTCTTCTTCGATGGCTCCTACAGGCCGATTATATTCATCTGTATGTGTGACACAAACCAATAAGATTTTATCTACTTTTGATTTTCTGTTCTTCCTTGTCAATTCATTATCCACAATGTTTCTTTTCTATATGGAATTCACCATTTTACCTTGATTGTATCATCTCTAACCAGTATGGAATTAAAATATAGTATAAATGAATAAAGGAAAACGATGTCGTAAGAATTCAACATGTATTCCCTCCGTTTCAAATTACTTATCGTTTTTGTTTGTCCTAAGTAACATTCCTAACTTTGACTATCAGTTTCTAGAAATTCATATAGTTCAACAACATGTAAACTATATATTATGAAAGCATTTCTCATGGTGAATCTAAAAACATAAATCTTATCATGTTGGACTATATAAATTTTTAAAAATTAATAGTCAAAGTTAGTAATGTTTGACTTAGGACAAAAGCTAAAACGACGAGTAATTTGAAACGGAGGGAGTGCTTGTTTTATTTAAGAGCAGCAAATGTTGCTTAATGGGTTATGTCTTTATCTCATGGATGGATGGATCTGTTTTTTGCCCCTTAGTTTCTAGTTGTTGAATTAGCACATACTGACTTCTGTTACCCAGCTTGTGTATGTGAATATCATGGACCAAAGATAGGGCTTAACAAATCCATTCTATACCTTGAATATTCAACCAAAGATAAATCAACAGATCATGAATCTTACTGTAATGAAGAGCTGTAAACCAACTTTGTTTTGGCAGCTCTAGCTTATACCTGGAAGGTTTTGCCGAATTCACCTATTTTCATGTTTGATCTTCTCTTGTACATGGAGAGTCACTTTCTGTATCTTATATTTTGCAGAGAGGAAGCAGTCAAGCTGCTGAAACTCCAACGATAGCAAGTGATGAGGATGTTCTATCTGTTCTAATGGAGCAGCATGAGCTATTTCTAAGCTCAACTCGATCTCGGTTGACAAAATTGCAGGTCAGTATGGTACTTTGCATTTTCTTTAAGATCCCCCCCCCCCCACTTCTAGTATCTTTATTCTCAAACTTCTCAATGGTATTTGAGTTGATTAATAAGATATAGAGATATGGAGAAAAAAGAGGTAGGCATACGTTGTGTCCTATTTTGCAGTGTTCTAGTGTACGACAGGCTGTTGATACTTGTATACTTTATACTGAAATATGACCTGTTGAATTAGCTAAATTGCTCTGTTGCATTCTCAGAATTTTCAATACTAAAATCTGTAGGCTTTCAAAATGCAATTGCTCGAATGCTGTATCTGACTATTTTAAGTGACTTGCAGATTGTTCATCAAATGTGGCAAAGAAATGATATACGGGGCATTATTGCAGCAATGGAGAAGATGTCTGATCATGCCGTCAGTACTTTGAACATTTCTCTTCCGTGTGCAGTGCACTAAACAACATAGTTATAACAACCTGATTTCTGGCAAGTGCAGGTATCTGCTGATGTTGCAAGTGTTCTGATGGAGAAAAGTGAAACAATCACACTAGATTTATGTACTGTTATTCTGCCCGTCCTTACTGACCTTCTGGAGAGTAAAACTGACAGGTAACTTACCGCTGCTTTTGTTATTATTATGATCCTGTTGTGGGAGTATATAGAAATGGTTAGAGACAATTTATTCATATGTATGTACCGTACTGCACTGATTGCCTTAACATCTTATATGCCATGCATTTATTTATTTTAAATTGCAATTAAAAGTATTTCTTACAAAAGCTAAATCTACACAGGCACTTAGGTGTTTCACTGGAATTGTTGGTGAAGCTTGTCAGGACGTTTGGATCAGTAATACATTCAACAGTATCAGCTGGTCCCTCTTCTGTTGGTGTAGATCTGCAAGCAGAGCAAAGGTATTATTTCAGTCAGACTGTCCTAGTATGCTACAGTATATTGCTAGAACTGTCCTCCTATTATGTTATATTGCTAGAGTATTACTAACTCATTGATAGATTCAGTAATGTGGTTTCTTAACTGTTTTTTCATCTTAGGCGGGAGCGTTGCAACCTATGCTTTATTGAATTGGAGAAGGTCAAAAATAAGCTTCCATTTCTTTCCAGGTATGGGATGCAATACATATGATACTTTACTGAAATTGTACTTTTTACCTGAATGAATTATGTAAGTGCCTATGAGTTATCTGGCTGAAACGGCACCTGCATTTACTGCTTGAGAATAAAGTTTGAGTGCCAGTTGCTGAGTTAAAATAACCACGCAAAACAATGCACAACCCACAGATCAGATCTCGTGAATTGCTTTCTCTGGCTGCTAGAATTGGCACTTTCCAGTGGATCTTACGTTTTCCTGAATTAAATGCATAGCTCCCTGTCACTTGCCGTTTGGTTCATGGTCACTCTTTGCCACACCTCAACTTAGGTAGCTTTGGCCGAGATAGTTCATTGTCACGCTTGTGGCAAGATTTTTTTTTAAGCACCTTGGTCCCACATGGCATTGTTCACCATATTGTGGTGCCAAATTTGTTCGTCTAACCTTAGACAAGCTTGGCAAGAAAACTATGGCAACCCTAGGCAATGTTATAATACAAACCAAACAACGAATGTCAGGCTATCATGATTCTGTGGTATGTATTTTTGTAATCTTTACATGTTTTCCCTTGTTTTTTTCAACAGAAGAAAAGGGGCAGTCGCAAACACGGCACAGGAGCTCAGTCTTGTCTTCCAGGAAGTTATGTAGTTGACTGACCACACACTGTCATACATACACAACTGAATGGGAAATGCATTCCCGCTGATGGCACCAATGTTGGGCATCAGTTGCCATGGAGAGCTGTTCGTTCGTGCCCAGTCACCGAGCTCCAAGGCACAGCAGCAGTGGATAACATTTTGTTGCCACTGTTTGTTCCTCTTGTACACACACTAACCAACAGTGCTCGAGATCCTTGTCTGTTGTCACTTTTGAAGGGAAGCTGCCATGAGCGGTGACATCTGCCGGCAGCGTTCTTCGCGTTTGTCTCATTGGTTTCTGAAGATACCAGTTTGCCCTTGATAGATGTGGATGACCGTGAGATGGAGCGAATGTCAGCGATTGTAATGCCTTGCTGGCTGTAGCCTCTTCTCTCGTGTCTTGTGTTAGCGGGTTGCATTTGATAGTTTATTGTTTGGTTGTGATGTCTGGTCGATTCAATGACAAGATTGATGAAGAGTGATTGAGCTCCTTGTACACCTGTACATCAGTTTTCTTTTGAATAGTATTTGAGATCTATACTCTTGATCGACACCTTTGTTACTCGTTGGCTTGTCACGTCCCTACAACAGCTAATGTCTGAGTTTTGATGAAACATTTCTTTGCTTGTAAGTGAGATATGCCCTTTGGAGTATTATCTGGAGGGTCATGAACATTTCATTGTTAAGCTTCATCTTCTGGGTAAAAACACAACTGTACCTTCAATTTTTTTTCAGGGTACAGAACAGTAAACTCCTGAATAATTCTGCTCACATTCACAAAATCAAACAAACCAACATACAATCTCATTAAACTCGTAACCACATTTCACACGACAAAGGACCTACCATGCAACATCAAAAACACCATATAATTAAGAAGACTAGAACAACAACAAACATTGGGCCTAAACAAATTAATTCGACGACATATATGAGATGAGAGGCACTCATGCAAGTGCAGCATGCCCCTGCTTATTCCCTTCTTTACCAAGCAGGCAAAACAAGCTAATTACCATGATCAAGGCTACTACGAAACCGAAGGATTCGATGGATGAATCGAATCGCGGCAAGAACGAGCTAGCCGCAGGTGGGGATGCAGGACTTGGAGCACTTGGCGGAGCACTTGGTGTGCGCCGACATGGTGCAGGTCTTGCCGCACATGAGCCTCTTCTTGTGGCACTCCTCCTTGGTCACGCAGCTCTTCGACTTCTCCGCCTCCTTGCCGCCGCCGCCGCCTCCCTCCTTGCCGTGCTCGTTGCCGCCGCCGCCGCCGCTCTTGTCGTCCCCCTGCGTCGCGATGAGGCGGCCCGCCGTCTTCGTCTTCGCCTCCTGCCGCTCCAGCGCCACCGGCATCGCCGCGGCGCCCGCGTCGCCGCCGCCGTCCTTCTTCTGATCCTCGGCCGCCGACGCCACCCTCACGCCGGCCGCGGCAGCTTGGCCCGCCGCGATGGTGGTGGCGGCGGCCAACTCCTCCTCCACATTGTGCAGCAGCTGGTGGGCGTCGGTGTCGGTGTCGGCGTCGGAGTCTGCCAGGAGGATCCGCTCGTTGTGCGTCGCCTCCTCGTGCGCGGGCTCCTCCGCCGCCGTGGTGGCGGCGCTGGCCGTGACGACGGCGAGCATGAGGAGGAGCACTGACACTACCGCGAAGCTGGAGCTGCAGGAGCGAGACGACGACATGGCTGCCTTTATTGACTACGTTTCCTTCTTCGCGCCTTGGGTGGTGTGGCTGCGAGAAGCTGGGGTTGCTGCTCCTATCCGTGTTTATAGCTAGAGCTCAGCATGCTGCGTTGCTCGATAAATAGCGATGAGATCGATAGCTAGCTTAGCTGCATGAGCGTGCATGGCGTGGCGCAACTAACCGAGAATACTTCGGTGAGGAGCGGGAGATGCATGCCGCTAGATGGGAATGGTGGCAATTGGCGATTTTGAAATACACCGTTGCCTCATCTTTTTTTCATCATTACACTCCTTTTTCACACTGTAAAAAAAAATCGGTGTTGTGGTGTTAAGGCCACTCCCCGCGACTTTGGTACATTTTCATAAATCCTTCGAAAAACAGTAATCCATTCATTTCACAATGTAAGTCATTTTAGCGTTTTCCACATTTATATTTATGTTAATGAATCTAGACATACATCAATATGAATGTGGGAAATGATAGAATGAATTACATTGTGAAATTGTGAAACAGAGGAAGTATATACATTTAAAAAAATATGAAAGGAACAATATAGTTTTAAAATTTAATCTAGCAACTGCTAAGCAAGAAAATTCCCATGAAAAACTGCATGGGCTTTACTGGCAGCTGCTACTGTTAATCTGAATAAGTTACTCACAATATACTGCATCTATCTATCTACTCAAACGAGATCAACCAAAGGATAACATTATTGGTGCCTTTTCAGTTAACATGGACTCACCTAAATATTTGCGGTGTTAATAGAGTTGCCAACTAACTTAATCTAGAAAAGCTCGTGACGAAGATGGGTTTAGAAAAAAAATCAAAACCGATTAGGCGGAGCCAATTTAAAGAACAAACCAGTCTTAAGACCGATTTAAAATCAATTTAGAGATAACTACATGTTTTATGGGCTAATCAAAAAGTTTACGGGACAACCCTAGAAAAATATCACACTCTTGCAGCAATGACATTCTTGTCCCATCAACCAAAAGGAGTCTGTCAGCGCGATTGTCTTTGGACAACAATTGTCTACCCTCATTTGTTATGTTTTTTTTTTTCTTTTCGCTGTCTCTTTATAAGTTATATCAAGACATTTGAGTATGTAACTAAATCTCTTCTTTTTATAAAGTTAATGTCCACTAAACACTTAATGTCCATCATTAGCAAATATTTACTGTGGCACCACATTGTCATATCATGACGCAATTAGGTTTAAAAGATTCGTCTCGCAATTTACACGTAAACTATGTAATTTATTTTTTTCGTATATATTTAATACTCCGTACATGTGTTTAAACGTTCGATGTGACGGGAAAAAAAAATTTGCCGGTGGATTTAAACACCCCCTTAATGTCGATGCAACAGTACTCGAGTCCTTGGCGGGGGTTATATTTTCTTGGCTACTCCAATTAGCTTGCAGATCTGGTTGGATTTTTTTTTATTGTGAGCTAGCTTAATTTAGTCGGTATTGCGAGGGTAATGTTGAATGTTTTTTTTTCTTAAGGGACACATCATGTCTGATATTGCGGTTAGGGGTAAATTTTAGACTTGACGATAAATTAAGGGATCTAAAATGAGCTTATTCCTCTCTAAAAAGCCCATCCACTTAAGAGGGGAAAAGTATAGCCCATTACTACTTTGCGCGGCTGATGGCGGATGGAGGGAGCCGCAACTGACCGTGGTCAAACTGTCCAAGGCACCTTTGGCTTTTTCTTTAGCTTTAGGAATTCACCCAGCTTAGCTTGCTTTAATGTTGTAGTATAAGCTATGCATGCGATTTGCTAGTTTAGATTAAATCCACTATCACAACGAGAAAATCAAATACTCCTTTAGTTTTGGCTTCAATAAACATGCCACGGGTATTGACCTGGCCTAACCTACCATGTAAAGAACTCCCTCCGTCCCAAAAAAAAGTCAAACCCTAAGTTTCCGTGTCCAATTTTGACTGTCCGTCTTATATAATTTTTTTTTATAATTCGTATTTTTATTATTGTTAGATGATAAAATATAATTAATATTTTATACGTGACTTGTCTTTTTAATTTTTTTTATAATTTTTTTAAATAAAACAGACGGTCAAACGTTGGGCACGGAAACCAGAGTTTGTCTTTTTTTTTTTGGACGGAGGGAGTATGTACTACCTGCTTCTGTTTTGCTGTAAAATTATTTTATTTTCTTCGATGTTGTTGTCAAGGTCGACGGTGACTGTTCCAATTCTAGAACCATGCCTACGAAACAAAAATGATCGTCAAACGGATTGAGAAATTCCAAACTCAACAGAACCTTCTCCTCTTGTAACAAAGGACTAAAGAAGTTTCTTCTCTGGTAATAAAAGACTAAAGAAGAAGAAAAGAGGACAAAAGAAAGTTCCATTCTTGATTCTTTCATGCGCTTATTTTCTCATCAATTAAGCAAGCCAATTGTGAACTGTCTCGCGGAAGAAACCATTTGTTATACAAAATTTACATATTTTTTCTTTTTTATTAAAGAGGTTTCTGATAAGTTGACTTCGGTGCAGGATGATCAATGGACGCAACCACGTCTGCCCATCGCGTGTACGTACACTGTTGGTCAATCGTCACAAGAGAATTCGAACTGCAGATTCTTTCTAAATTTTTTTTGGCAAAACAAAACAAATTAATGTTTTGGCCGTGTTTAGTTGTTTTGGAAAAAAAATTATCATATACATACACACATTTGAAGTATTAAACGTAGACTAATAACAAAACTAATTACAGAATCCGTCAGTAAATCGCGAGACGAATTTATTAAGTCTAATTAATCTGTTATTAAAAAATGTTTACTGTAACATCACATTATCAAATCATGGCGTAATTAGGCTCAAAAGATTCATCTCGTAATTTACATGTAAATTGTTTTTTCGTCCACATTTAATACTTATACATGTGTGCAAATGATGTGAAGGAAAAATTAAAAGTTTAAAGGGAACTAAACACAGCAAAAATAACAAAATGATGGAGGAATAGAAGCAGAGTTGTGGAGATGTAGAGAGAAAGGAAAACGGAAGAGGAGAAAGACCAGGCAGCCAGCTAGCAGATGGATCGCTGGACCGACGAATGGGAAACAGAGGGTGAGGTCGCGGTTTTTGACGCGGACGTCGCTGGTTTTGCCGGATGCTGGCGCCGCCCTGATTGCCCACCGCCCCATCGCCGTTCGCTGGTATATGCCGTTGTCTTGGAATCATCTCCTCGAGATGTCAAACTCACCCCAAGATTAGCACGCCCACACACTTTACCCAACCAACTCCATTCAGTGCGATTTTGGCCAGTAATTAGCCACACTGCATATTAGCCACGACACCACAAGTTTCAAATTATAAACCTTAAAGTTGTGTTAAGTTCATGTTAAAATTAAAAATTTAATTGAAATTAAAATGATACGACAGAAAAGTTAAAAGTTTATGTACGTAGGAAAGTTTTGATGTGATAAAAAAATTTAGAAATTTGAAAAAAAAATTGAGAACTAAACCAGTCCCAAATCAAACAGTCCTACTAGTTGCATTTTGTAACTTCTTCCCCAAGAAGATCAGTGGGGATGATTTCCATGTGGAGAAATGGAGACAGTGAGGCAGGCACTGAATCGCCTCACCTCGACCCTCTGCCCCTCAACTCGGTGGTGACCACGCGTCCACATCTCTCATCTTTCTTTCTCCGCTATTCTCCTCCAGTCCTCTTCTCTTCTTCCTCCCTCCCTTCGCCCACTGAATCGCCAAAAAAATTCCCCTCCTCCACTCCATCTCTATAAAAATCCTCCCCCAAATCTCGCCTCGTTTAGCCAGCACAACTCACACAACTCTCTCTCTCTCTCTCTCTCTCTCTCTCTCGTCGTCTGCAAGCTTCCGCCTCCCGGATCGCGGCGACCACCGGAGGAGGAGGGAGCAGCCATGGCGAACATCGACATGGGGAAGATCCTGGCGGGGCTGGAGAACGACGACGCGCGGGTGCCCAAGACCAAGCTGGTCTGCACGCTCGGCCCGGCCTCCCGCTCCGTCCCCATGCTCGAGAAGCTGCTCCGCGCCGGGATGAACGTCGCGCGCTTCAACTTCTCCCACGGCACCCACGAGTACCACCAGGAGACCCTCGACAACCTCCGCCAGGCCATGCACAACACCGGCGTCCTCTGCGCCGTCATGCTCGATACCAAGGTTACCCCCTCACTGCTTTGCTTGTCGATCTCTACATGCTTGTATGCTGCTGGGTTGTTCGGATCGGACCAGTCGGGGTAGCTTGCGTTTGATACAGAGCGGATTTCGATTTGGATCTGCTCGTCTTTTTTATCGGGAGAAGCTGGGTTTGATTTGGAGGCAGCATGGTAGGATTATGAGTTGAGTTTACAGCGGTTTGACTTTGGAGGACTCGACAAAATGGTATCCGGGGTTAGATTTGCCTGCGCTTGCGCTTTTGCCTTGTCGCAGATGGCTGGATCTTGGATTGGGGGCTCAGGCTTGCGTCTCCATGTGGGTAGTTAGTTTTGGAGTCTTATGGATTCTGAGCAAGTGTAAGTGTGTAACTGGTTCGTAGTGTGATCCGTTTGCGGTGTTGGTGAGATTGATGAGCTGCGTGCATCTTGTTTGTCATATTTAGCTTTACAGTTCGTCTCTATGCTTTTTCAAGTTAATTTATTCATTTGTAGAGTTGGATTGGAAGGATGGTTAACAGATCTTGGGATCGGTGGCTTTGGAGTATGGAGTGTTCAAATCCTAGTGTTCTGATTTTGTTGCTTTTGTAGGAGGATATGATTAACACGTAAAAGAAGGCTTTATTAGTGTAGTCATTTCTTCTATTATGCCTTGATGTTTCTGTCATGCACGTAACTATTGGTGCTTATCTTTTTACACTCTCACACTTCATGGTTTGCTTTGTAGTTCAAATAAGTTACTTACAGAATTGTACTGCACACAGTTTATCTTTTTTATCACTTCTTGTACTGCAATTAGTTCCATTATTTTTACCTGTTTAGTAGCATATTTAAGGCGATTCTGTGGTGACTGTTCTGAACATTTCATTCATTGCTTCAGGGTCCTGAGATTCGTACTGGATTTTTGAAGGATGGCAAGCCAATCAAGCTAACAAAGGGTCAAGAACTCACTGTTACCACCGATTATGAGATCAAGGGTGATGAGAACATGATTACCATGAGTTACAAGAAACTGCCAGTTGATGTGAAGCCTGGAAATGTCATTCTCTGCGCCGATGGTACAATCTCTTTGACTGTTTTGTCCTGTGATCCAAAGGCTGGAACTGTGAGGTGTAGGTGTGAGAACACAGCAATGCTTGGCGAGAGAAAGAATTGCAATCTGCCAGGAATTGTTGTGGACCTTCCTACACTGACTGAGAAGGATAAAGAAGACATTTTGGGATGGGGTGTGCCAAATGACATAGACATGATTGCTCTGTCGTTTGTCCGTAAAGGATCAGATTTGGTTACCGTCAGACAACTTCTTGGACAGCATGCAAAGCGCATCAAGCTGATGTCAAAGGTTTGTAATCATTATCACTATTTTTTGGGTCCTGTTAGGTTTTCAGTTCCACAGTTTGCTTAAGTATTTAATTACCAGGACGGTTGAGTGACAATACTTCTCAGTTAGATGCTTTAATTAATGTTTTGTTGTCCCTTTCTGGTATATACTGGAGCCAGAATTGTTTGGTCTCTGCCTTTGTACATTGACCATTTGACCCCTTTTTGTGCTATATTAGGTAATAAAATGCAATTTTGTTCCTTTTCTATGTGCTTGAACAACTAGTTTCAGAATAACCTTTTTTCACGTTTGCTTGTTCAAATAGCAGCTACTTATTTTCTCATGCACTTTCACTGATAGGGTTTAGCTTGTTGCCTGATATGCATTAAAATGAGGAATTCAGGTTATTGCATTTCTTTGCTGCTAACTGAAATTTTGGATCTAGATGGTTCACCGTGTTATAAATGACCCTGTCTTACTGCCATGATGATAAAATATATTCGTGATGATGATAATACATATGAGGTGCCTGGTAATTTACCATGCTGGTTATGTTGCTGTGCGTCTAATTTCTTTCTTAACTTTTTCCTTGTTTTTAGGTTGAAAACCAAGAGGGTGTTGTAAACTTCGATGAGATCTTGAGGGAAACGGATGCATTTATGGTTGCTAGAGGTGATCTTGGAATGGAGATTCCAGTTGAGAAGATATTCCTTGCACAGAAGATGATGATTTACAAGTGCAACCTTGCTGGAAAGCCTGTTGTGACTGCTACTCAGATGCTTGAGTCGATGATCAAATCACCACGTCCAACTCGTGCTGAGGCAACTGACGTTGCAAATGCAGTTCTTGATGGAACTGACTGCGTCATGCTTAGTGGAGAGAGTGCTGCTGGAGCATACCCTGAAGTAGCTGTGAAGATCATGGCACGTATATGTGTTGAGGCAGAGTCTTCCCTTGACAACGAAGCTGTCTTCAAGGAGATGATCAGGTCTGCGCCCCTTCCGATGAGCCCATTGGAGTCTCTCGCATCCTCTGCTGTACGCACAGCCAACAAGGCCAAGGCAGCCCTGATTGTTGTCTTGACTCGTGGTGGTACCACGGCAAAGCTGGTTGCCAAGTATCGTCCCAGGGTTCCAATCCTCTCTGTGGTTGTCCCCGTGTTGACAACCGATTCATTCGACTGGACAATCAGCTCGGAGGGCCCAGCAAGGCACAGCCTAATCTACAGAGGTCTTGTTCCTCTCCTGGCTGAGGGTTCTGCCAAAGCCACCGATTCGGAGTCGACAGAGGTCATCCTTGATGCTGCTCTCAAGTCAGCTGTACAGAAGCAGTTGTGCAAGCCTGGTGATGCTGTTGTTGCTCTGCACCGTATTGGCGTCGCATCCGTGATCAAGATCTGCATCGTGAAGTAATCGCTACACGGTGTCTTCTTAGCGCCATTTTGCTGGGTTAAGTGGCAAAACAAAAACTGCTATGCTTGTTTTTACTCCCATAGTCCATCTTTGGGAGACAATTTAATTACCGTATCAGCCCCTGCAGTTCGCAGGGTGCCTTTCGTTACATAGATTTGCTGGTAAAATGAGGAGAGATAGAACTCCATTATGTAGAGCTCTATTTATCGTCGATGCCATGTAGTATGGCAGGTGGTTTCTATTCCATGCCTGCACAATTTTCTGGTAGCTACTGTGTTGTTTGATTACTGTTTTTTCAGGTGATGTCGATGGAGTTGATAATAATATTGGCATCATTGTCGTTGTATACGAGTTAAAAAAGAATGTCCCAGGATTCATCAGGAATCTGGTGTGCCCATATGGCCATATGGATTTTTGTCTTGTTTAAGATTCCGGTGACCGGGGTACGAAATCTTGGTTGGTAATCGGCGGCCTGAGCCGTTTAACGGTATACTAATTGCATGAACTATGTATTCTGCAACGTTATTTGTGGTAATACATTATTATGTTCCATTTGCTGTATCTATAAAACAATGGTTGATCAGAACAACCAAAAGCTCGAATTTACTTTTAAGTACCATATACAACTAGTTTTTTAATTCAAACTAATAATAACGTTTACAATCCGATAATTCGAGAGGGCAAACAGCACAGGGAGGAGTGGCTGGGTGGACGGCCGAGTCCGTCGGAGACGAAGGAAAGAAGGAAAAAAAAACCCGCGCGCGCCTAACTGTCCGCGAAAAGGGCAAGGCGGAACGCATGCATCGCATTGCGTCGCAGAGCATCCGTCAAAAGCACGGCACGTCTCCAACAAATCTCGCTTGCCTTAAACGGGCGGCGTGACGGGGACACACTGCCGACGATCGAACGAACGAACGAACGATGCGTCCCTCCTGGTGCTCCGTCGTCGCCACCCCAGATGGGTCTCCTTGAGGACCTCCTCCTCGCCCCGCGCGTCGACGGCGGTGGCGGCGGCGACGGCGAGGCCATGGCGGCGCCCGACTACGCCATCCCTCCCCTCTCCCCAACCGCCGCCTCCGTCGTCCACCGATGCGCCCGGTATGATCTCCCTCATCTCCTCCTCGTCGTATGGATTAATGTCCAATTTGATTTAATTGATCGATTCCTGATCGATCGCGGCGAGAAACGTCAACCTGGGTTCGAAACCTCACCTCTTCTGATTATTTGATATTAGGTCGTTATTTCTTAATATTCGTGTATTTTTTTATCGATCGTGGCTGCAGGATCGCCGGCGTGGAGGTGGAGCAGCTGCTGCGGCGGTTCGAGCCGGAGAAGGGGGACCAGCCGCTGGCGTACGCCAGGAGCGTCGTGGAGTACTGCTCCTACATTGCCCTGCGCGTCGAGACCAAGCGCCATGACTACCTCAGCGACAGCGAGTTCCACTCGCTCACCTACGACATGATGATCGCCTGGGAAGCCCCCGACGACGAGACGGACGCCGCGTTGCAGGTGATGACACCCCGGTTTTCTTTTTTTTTTTCACCCCCAATTCAACATCACCATCTTGTTTGTTGTTCATACGCAACTCTGATCAGAAACCGATACGCTATAACAGAAAATGTCATTTAGCTTCGTTGACGGCAAGGATGACGACGATTGTGGGTCCATGTTCTGTTTGAGCCCCACACAAATGGCCATTCAGGTTATATATATATCTCTGTCAATTTGACATATTTTGTGGTTTCTCAAGTATCAATCCAAACATTTGATGAAATATTTAGGTTGATGGGAGGAGAACGGTCAGTCCTGAAGCATTTGCCAAGATTATTCCTGCGTGTCCTGCAATGGCACACGCGATCACTGTTCGCAACTTATTTGATGCGCTCACAAACTCTACGGGAGGCCGCCTGCATTTTCTCATCTACCATAAGTACCTCAAATGTTTAGACAAGTATGCATTGGCACCAGCTTCTCTTGTTTCTCTTCATTGTTACAGTTATTGTCATTCTCTGAAACCTGAACAATGAGCATTACTGAATATTCAGGCACTCGGTTACTTTCACTGCATGATTGCCTTACTATGGCGCCTCTGGTTTCTGATGTTAGGGTGCTGAGATTTGCGAAACGTATATCAGGTGGACACAAAGCTCCAGCTCTTCAACTTTCTGATGGAGAAGTGATCCTTGATATCTATGGTGCCGCGACAACCAAGCCGATTCTTCAACACATTGGGACGTCCACTTGGCCTGGTTAAGAATCCTCCCTATGGTAATTTTGATCAGTGTTGGTGAATTGTTTCCTTCACTATGGCCTTAAGGTGTATAAGGTGCATATTTTGCAGGGAGGCTCACACTGACAACCCATGCTTTGTACTTTGAGCCAGTCAGTGTTGATTTCTCATACAACGAGGCTGTGGTGTATGATCTGTCAAGGGACTTGAAGCAGTCTATAAAACGTGAATCAACTGGCCCATGGGGTGCTCAGCTATTTGACAAAGCTGTCATGTACAAATCTAGCTCTACGTGAGTAATTACTACTGTAGAATAAAATTTTTTTTAAGTTTCTGCTCATCTTGTAGCTTTGCTCATACAATTTTACTTTGACAGAAGAGAGCCGGTGTTCTTCGAATTTCCTCAATTCAAAGGTCACACTCGTCGAGACTACTGGTTTGCAATCATCAAAGAGGTGTTGCACGCTCACAAGTTCATTAGGAAGTACAGGATGATCAATTTACATAAGGCCGAGGCGCTTTCTGTTGCGACACTAGGAATTCTCAGATACCGCACGGTGAAGGAGGGATTCCACATACTGCCTGCACATTTCAAGACTACCCTTGCCTTCAATTTGGCAGAGAAATTGCCCAAGGGGGACAAGATACTGGAAGCATTGTATGGTCAGATGAAAGATTATTCCTCAAGGTTCAGAGTAGATGAAGATTCTGTTCAAAGCAGTTCAGATGATCTGACGCTTGCTGATCCTTTCCCACTTTCTGCATATACTTTGGTGAACATGGGTTTGTTGACACTCAAAGAGGAGGACAATCCCGAGGAATGGGATCTCACTGTCCGAGATGTGCAGACGGGAGGAACTAGCTCAGTGCAAATGGCTCTAGAGAGATCTGTAGGTTACTCTGGCAGAGTGGAGGCTGCGAGGGCGACCCTTGATCAGGTCAAAGTGGAAGACATCGACACTAATGTGGCTGTCCTGAAGGTACTAAATGTCATTTTCTCATAATCTTCTAAACTAAGATATGAATTCAGATAGGAAAAGTCTTGAGTTCTGGAACAACCACTGAGCTCTGAGTGACCTGTACAGGCATACCTAAGCCTGAATTTCCATTCATAGTTTTAGATTGCTCAATAATTGTAGACTGATAGTTGCTTCCAATGTCATCAAGATTGATCACAATTCAAGCCATTATTAAGTGTATTAATGTTTGTTGATTTACTGTTAATATGCAGGAACTGCTATTTCCGTTAATTGAAATAGGCAAAAGGCTTCTCTTTTTGGCTGAGTGGGAAGATCCACTTAAATCATACGTCTTCTTGTTCTGTTTCCTCTTCATAGTTTACAGGTAATATCTGAAATCACCTCTCTTTTTTTTTTGGCTAAAACGAACTGAAATACTTCTACCAGTAGTTAAAAAATTTTGTTTCACGGAGCAATGTTAATACCTATTCCATACTAAACCCTGCAGAGGCTGGATTTGGTACATTTTCCCTGTCTTTCTGCTTGGTTCTACCATCTTCATGCTATGGCAAAGGCATACCGGGAACGGGCAGATGATAGGCGCATTTGAAGTCACAACTCCACCTAGGAGACGAACTGTAGAACAGCTACTGGCGCTGCAACAAGCTATCTCGCAATTAGAGGCACAAGTGCAAGCCGGAAACATTTTTCTTCTCAAGCTCCGATCCCTCCTGCTTGCAGCGTTCCCTCAAGTACGTTACTTCTTCTCACATTATCACTCACAACTACGAATTACTTTGTAAACCATCACATCAAAACTCTAAATCTTGCAACATTCTGCAATTACTATATAACAATTGTTATTGTCTGGTCAGAGCACGAACAAAGTAGCAGCTACAATGCTCGTGGCATCTGCGATATTCGCGTACCTGCCCTTGAGAAGCATACTTGTACTGATTGTGCTGGAAGCATACACGAGGCATATGCCGGCGAGGAAGAAGAGCAGCGAGAAGTTGGTGAGGAGACTGAGAGAGTGGTGGCTGCGAATCCCAGCTGCTCCTGTACAGCTCTTGAGGCCTCAGGATACCAGGAGATGGACATCGAGGTTGAGATCGAGATGACCCACATCGGAAATGTCGGTACTTTACACATGTATTATATGTACCTGTAAATTCATCATGTTGTTAGAAATGTTGATATATACGATCAGATTTTTGTGTTGAAATGGAAAGTACATATTGTGCAAAATGGAATTGTGGGTGGATCGTATTTTGTATTGTGAATTTTTGTTGAAAGCTGCACTGAAGGAATTTGGCTGTCTATCCTATGCAGTAGCTACTATGCATTTATTTGAAAATCAAACTGATCATTAGCTGGTATCTGACTGAAGTCAGAGTGAGAGGCCACAAACCAAGACTTGCCTTGTTGAATTCACACTTCTGTCTGGGCTGCTAATGGATTAAATTTTAGTCGCTGTCATATCGGATGTTTGACACTAATTAGAAGTATTAAACGCAGATAAATAATAAAACTAATTGCATAAATGAGAGCTAATTCGCGAGATAAATTTTTTAAACCTAATTAATCCATAATAAAACATCCGATCTGACAGGGACTAATTAGTCTCTAGATTCAAACACTACCTAAGCGCCCCGTTTGAGTTAACTTTAAGATAGAGAAGTACGGGTATGTAAAACGACAAAGATATTAGTAACGGTTTGAGCTATTCACATGCCATCTAATTAGATAAGGTGTCCCAGATTTTTCTAATGTATTTGCATTCCACCAGGAAATGGAATGACATTTTAGTGTATGACGGCAAAGCGGGCAATATGCATTGTTTGGCTATCCATGGACTGCCATAAAATATATTCTTGTTAGCTATAAAGTACTTAATCACATCCACTCACGCAATTTGGTGTATCCATGATGCAATTTATCTACTCCCTCCATCCTAAAATGTTTGACGCCGTTAACTTTTTTAAAAATGTTTGACCGTTCGTCTTATTCAAAAAATTTAAGCAATTATTAATTCTTTTTCTATCATTTGATTTATTGTTAAATATACTTTTATGTATACATATAGTTTTACACATTTCACAAAAGTTTTTGAATAAGACGAACGGTCAAATATGTTTAAAAAAGTCAACAGTGTCAAACATTTAGTAAAGGAGGGAATATTATGTATTGAACTAGTTATATTTATAGTTTGACTAATTGTTTATTAAAAATCATAACAAAGATCCGGTTTTAAAAAACAAAACATCCTATAAAAATCATCAGAGGAAGGACCATGTAGCTTGCAAGCTTCAGTAGCAGCAACACATATGTTTTTGGTTCCATTAAAAAAAAAACACATATGTTTTTGGAGAGGCTTGAGTTACATAGGTTAGGTAGTAGCTAGCGTGTCACACCAATTTGTTTTTATATATATGCTACTAGATGTGCACACGTTGATATTCCATTTGAGTTTTGTTAACACGGAGTTTGTTGGGCTTGTCGTGTAAATACAAAATACGGAAGGACCGTCGGCAACCGTTGATCACGTCATGCCTGAAGATCCCCAAATTGATGCAGTAGCCTCTCTGAATTTTCAACACGACAAGCAGCCGTCCGGTCAGCTGCAGCGTGGTTAATTATTCAGAGATTAGAGAGGCGTCTTCCAGGCAATTATTCAACCTATTTCTCCTGACGAACTTGCTCTTTGCTAACCTGAAGCTTCGTGATCGACGGCAGCTACGCATGACATGATGTCATTATGGTTGTGAGCAAATGTTTTTTCAAGAGTTTTTCATGTGATCTCGTCAGTAATTCCGTCCCTCGGTTAACAACAACCATTCAACACGATGTACGGACCGTGACATCAGATTCAGCGTACATGGGTAGCACTCGGGCGCAGCTCATACTTCATCATTTTCAAAATATTTGACACTGTTGACTTTTTAGTACATATTTAACCATTTGTCTTATTAAAAAAATTTGTGAAATATGTAAAACTATATGTGTACATGAAAGTATATTTAACAATGAATCAAATGATATAAAAATAATAAATAATTACTTAAACTTTTAAATAAGACGAATGGTCAAACATGTACTAAAAAGTCAACGGTGTCAAACATTTTGAAACGGAGGGATACATTTCTGCAAGTCGCTTAATTCGTATCGAAACGCAACACGGCGATAACCTGAGCGATCACATGACGGTAATTAATCAATAACTAATCCAGCTGCTACTGTAAATGATTATAAATGTAACGCGTCGTACAAAGAGTAGTCAAAATCTGAACACACAGAAAGTTAAAAGGAAAGGGACATGACCATTCCTGCGAGAATCAGCATAGATTTCTTGTGTTCTCCAATTAATTTCAAGAAGAAAAAAATAATACTACCTCCGACCTAAAATAAGTACAAATAATACTACCTCCGACCTAAAATAAGTACAGCTGTAGCTATCTGTGCACAACGTTTGACGGTTCGTCTTATTTAAAAAGATATAAAAAATTAAAAATTAGTCACACATAAAGTACGATTCATATTTTATCATTTAATAACAATAAAAATAATAATCATAAAATTATTTAAATAAGATAAAATGGTCAAATATTAGATTGGACGGTATAAAATTACACTTTTTTTTTGAGACTGAGGAGTAATCAGCAACCTTGAAGTCAATCACACATGCGGCAGCCATGGCAACCAAGTCAAGAGCTGAACATGATAAACTAATAAATCCATCACGTCTAGAAGCCAAATTAACCAAACCAAAAACGAAAACGTGTCACGAATCGTCACGTATAAATTGCACTGTGTACTTAGACATCCATAACGTTTTCACCAAATCAACTCTGCCATTTCGTCGATTGTCCTCCTCTTCCCTTGACGGTGCAAAGCAGCATCTCCATCGCAATGGATTACCACCGAATCCACCCGGTGGGCGTCGGCTCGCCGGCGCCGGCGCCGGACAGCCAGCAGCAGGTCGGCAAGGGGAGGTCGACGGCGAGCTACGGTGAGAAGGAGCAGCTGCCGATCACCGCGCCACGGCCGTACGCGCCGGCACCGCTGCCGCCGCCGCCGCCGCGGCGCAGGAGCCGCGGGCGGCGGTGCTGCCGGTGCGTGTGCTGGACGCTGCTCGCCGTACTCGTCCTCGCCGTGGCGCTGGGCGCCACGGCGGGCATCCTGTACGCGGTGTTCAAGCCCAAGATACCGGACTTCCACGTGGACCGGCTCACCGTGACGCGGTTCGACGTGAACGCGACGGCGGCGACGGTGAGCGACGCGTTCGAGGTGGAGGTGACGTCGACGAACCCGAACCGGCGGATCGGGATCTACTACGACGGCGGCGAGGTGACGGCGTCGTTCAACGGCACGGAGCTGTGCCGCGGCGGGTTCCCGGCGCTGTACCAGGGCCACCGGAGCACGGTGCGCCCCGTCATCCTGCTCGCCGGCGAGACGCGGCTGGACAGCGCCGTGGCGCTGCAGCTGGCGCGGCAGCAGCAGGCCGGGTTCGTGCCGCTCACGGTGTGGGCGCGCGTGCCGATCCGCATCAAGTTCGGCGCCATCAAGCTGTGGAAGATGACCGGGAAGGCGACCTGCAACCTCGTCGTCGACAACCTCGTCGCCGGCAGGCAGATCCGCATCCGCTCCAACAGCTGCAGCTTCAAGCTCAAGGTCTGATCGAGCTTTGTAGAGGCGTTGATCCATCTCCATTTCTGTGAATCCATCCGTTGAGTTGAGATTAGCAGGTGGTAGAGGCGTGTATTTTTACATTTTTACCAATACTAGTTTCTGTGAATCCATCCGTTTTTGGAAGCTCTGCTACTCAGATTAGGTTTAATGTATGAGCACCGATGTATATATGAAAATGCATACGCGATGAATTTCTTTGAAAATGGCAATAAAGATGGCGAATTTGTTCGTCTGGCATGCCCCAACTGAAGCAATTTCAGTATAAACTCACTCCCAAAAAGAACACCTTTAGCCGCCCCGTTGGTATGGGTCTATCCAAGTAAGGTCTTAATGGGCCGGTCTACAAATTAAAAGTCTATGCTGCCTACCTCAACTATGGCACACCTGGTTTCAGGTCTTTCTCCTTTGATCAATATATATAGGTAGTTCCTTGATAAAACATTAAAACTCAATTAGATACGTATGACAGAAACGAAATTAGTACGCAGCTACAGTGCCCAATACCGACTTCCACGTCATCATTTTACAGTGCGACCACAACATTTATCATCCTCCTCTACCCTAAACTAGATTTGTGTAACTTCCCGATTTACAAAGTATATGATCAGGAGATATTACAAATCAGACAATGCACTACTACTCTATTTCTCTAAACCTCGTAAAACATCTCACACAAAGTAGTCTTGTGCTGTACCGATCGAAATGCACCATATATGTCACCCATGGCGAAGCAGCAATCACTGCCACGCACGGCGGCGCCGGTCAAATCTGCCTGCACGGCGGCAGCGGCTTGCCGCAGAGGCACAGGTTGCCGGCGTACGCGGCGGCGGGGAGCAGGTTGAACGGCCTGGCCTGCGGTATCTTGCCGCACAGCTTGTTGCCCCGGAAGCTCGCGTGCCGGAGCCTCGCCATCCGGGCGAAGCTGTCCGGTATCCTCCCGACGAGCGCGTTGCCGGAGATGTCCAGCCACCGGAGGCTCGCCATCGACGCCACGGATGCCGGGATGGTGCCCCTGATCTTGTTCCGGGAGATGTCCAGCCTCTGGAGCCCGACCAGCCTCCACACCGAGCTTGGTATCTGGCCGCCGATGGCATTGCCCGACACGTCCAGCCACCTCAAGCTCGCGCCGGCGCCGAACTCCGGCAAGGCTCCGGTGATACTGTTCTTGGACAGGTCCAGGTGTTGTAGTTGCCGAGGAAGAAAGATCACTGACATGTCTGAGCTTGCATTCTTGGTCAGCCTCCTTGCTGGTGATATGCTTCTGAAGAAGTGATCAATGCCGCCGACGAGATGGTTGTGAGAGAGGTCCATGGACACGAGAGACGGCAATCCATGGCGGATTCCGGGAGGAAGTGAACCTGACAACCCGTTTCTTGACAGGTTCAGGTTCCACAGCTTCTGCAGACCAAACAGTGACTCTGGGATCGAGCCTACGAGCAGATTGCTGTCAATGGAGAGAGAATTCAGAGAAGAAATGCTGCCGATCTGAGAAGGGATCACGCCGGTGAGCTTGTTATGGCGCAGGGAGAGATCAGTGAGGTTGCGTAGGCCGCACAGCGACGCCGGAATCTCGCCGGAGAAGCCGTTGTTGCTGAGGTCAAGCATGGCCAGGCTCTTGAGCTGCTGCCCAAAGAACGCCGGAATTGCACCGGAGAGGAGGTTGTTGCTCAGGTCGAGATACGCCAACCTGGAGAGATTCTTGTAGCTCGGCGGCACCTCGCCGGAGAGCCGATTCCCGGCGAGGTTGATCTGCACCAGCCCCGGGAGTGACCCGAGCTCCGGCGGCAGCTTCCCCTCGAACCGGTTTCCGGCGAGCGACAGGTACTGGAGGGAGGCCATGCCGCTGAGGACGCTGCCGGGGACGCCGCCGGCGAGCATGCTGCCCTCGAGGTAGAGCTGCTTGAGGCGCGACAGCCGCGACAGGCTCGCCGGGATGGCGCCGCCGATCCGCGCCATGTCGCGGATCACCAGCGTCTCCAGGAACTCGAGCCCGCCGAGCGAGGCGGACAGGGCGCCCTCCATGTAGCTCCGCCGCGGCGGCGGCAGCGGCGGCGCCTCCAGCTGCAGCGCGACGACCCTCCCCGTGGCGGCGTCGCACGACACGCCCTCCCACGCGCCGCAGCAGTCGTTCCCGCCGTCCCACGTCGCGAGGATCCCCGTCGTGTCGACGGTGACCCCGGCCTTGAAACCGAGCAGCGCGGCGCGGTCGGCCGGCGAGCACGGCGTCGGAGGCGGTTCGTCGTCGCCGCCGGCGCCATCGTGCCCCGCTTCTGCGCGCGGCGGCGGCAGCAGAGCGGCCACCACAAGAAGGAGAAGCAGAGCGCTCGGCGCAGCCAAACGCGACTTCTTCGAAACCTGCATTGCCATTGCCACTCTCTGATCAGAATTCAGAAACTGCAAGGCTTTATCTTGTTTTTTTTTTCGTGTGGATTTCTTGGAGAAGCGAGTGCGATCTGTGAGGAGTATTTATAGCGGGAAGAGGAGCCTCGCGTTCGCGTCGCGAGCATTTAGTGTGTTCATGTGTTTGCGCCATGGGAGGGAGCCTGAAACAACCTCGGAGCGTTCTCTGAAAATATTTTGATTTTTTACCGTTCGTAGCAGACGCGGGACATGTTGGATCGCATGACATGTGTGGGCGCAACGCAAAAATGGCTTTTGATGTTGGCTACGAGCTGTGGTGGTTGCACTCGATGAATAATCGGTTATTCAGTTAGCAGTTGCTAGTTGCTACCAGCGTATGTACGAAGAGTAGTACTACATGTACGAAAAATCTATCTATCTATCTATCTATCTATTATATTATTAAAACAGCTTTGAAAGAAGGCTCCACGTTCGCTGTAGTGGCTAGAAATTCCCACATTAATCGGAAAAAAAAAGAAAAATATTAGCCATTGGATTAAAATAGATCTAGATTAATGGTTGTGATTTAATATGAGTCTACATATTTTATGGAAACAGTGTCAATAAACCAAACAGGAACCAACCAGACTCCAGTCTGATTTTTGGAAGCTTGGAAGCTCAGGAACCAAGCCGGAATAGAACTCTAACATAGAAGACTACTACATGCTACTAGGCACTTAGGCAGCAGTGCAAACGTGAAATCGTATCATGACAGTATTTTTTGAAGCAGTAGTAGCGTAACTCTAATTTTAAAAAAGTAAAACATAATACCGATACTGATTCCAAGTTAAAATCAACGGAACCAACCAGACTCCATGATTTTTGGAAGCTTGGAAGCTCAGGAACCAAGCCGGAATATAAAATCCAAAATTAGCAAAAAAAAAAGAAGAGTTCAAGTAGGAATACAATTTAAAATTAGCTGAAATTCGGAATTAAAAATAAACACTGTTGAAAGAAAAATCCATATAAGAACCCAATATGAGATTAATTAAAATTTAGAATAAAAAAATAAAATAATATCCAAAATTAGAAAAAATAAAAGAGAGTTCAAGTAGGAATACAATTTTGAAACAACTGAAATTGAAAATAAAAAAATAAAAATATTAAAAGAACACGATACATATTATTTATTTTTTTAAAAAATAAATTCTAAAATTAGAAAAAGAAGAAAAACAAGATTTCAATTAGGAATACAATTTATAAATAACTAAAAATGTGATAAAAATAAAGACTATTGAAAGAAAAGACCATCTAAAACACATGACGAGATAAATTAAGTAACAAGCCTATAAAGGAGTAGAGTGGTGGCGGTTGATATGACATATAAAAACTGTTAATAAAACACCAAATAGAATCCTAATGACGATTAAAAGGAAGAACGACAGGCAGGCTGTGAAGCAAACGAGCAAGGCGATTGTCGGGACTTCTAGAAAGCAAAAAAGATAAACCCCATTGATAATCATATTCGATTTTTAAAATATCAATGACAATAAAAAGGAGAAGCAGCGGGCGGGGTGTATAGGAGTATAATTGCAGAGCCGCTGACGGTTGACAGGACTTCTAGAAAATAAAAAATGGATTCCAACGATAGTTATGTTCGACTTTTAGAATTACAATGACAATAAAGAGTAGGCGGCGGATGGGCCGTAGAGGAGCATAGTGGCATCGTTTAACGAGACTTCTAGAAATTATAAAAAATAAAACCCAACAAGACAATAACTCTAAAAACTACAAGGTTCAGTTTTTAAAGGTTCGGAACTTCCAAAAAGTAAAAAAAATGATAATCATGTTCGATTTTAAAATATCAATGATAATAAAGAAGGGAGTCAGCGGGCGAGCCGTAGAGAAGTACAAGGCAAAGCCGCTGACCGGTTTGGCGGGACTTATAGAAAGTAAAAATGAACCCAAACGGTAATTATGTTCGATTTTTAAAATCTCAATGACAATAAAGAGAAGAGACAGTGGACGGGCCATAGAGAAGTATAATAGCAACGTTTGACGGGACGTCTAGAAATTATAAAAATGAACCCAACGTGATAATAAACTCTAAAAACTACAAGATCCAATTTCTAAAGGTTCCAATGAGAATGAATAGAAATAGTGATAAATCGAGCAAGCAAATAAAGAAGGAGATGACATAGGGGTAGCAACTGGTGTGACTTTTAAAAAACTATATAATTAGAAACACGTAGATGATAAGGTTTGGTATTTCAAACTCTTAAGACAATGAGATAGCTATTTAATAAAATTTAAGTAAAATCATATAAAAAATATATGATTTTATTTAAGTGCTAGCCGCGCAATTGCGTGGGCCACCCAGCTAGTTTCTTGCAAACAAAAATTTCAACCGTTTGATTGAATCAACTGAAAGATTCAACACACATCAGTGTTTATAGAAAGTTTGTAAAAGTAATTTGAGTAAATTTCATAAAACTACATATACTTTACACAATCTATCATAAAACTACATATTTAAGAACTTATTTCACAAAACTACAGATTCAATGTCTTCGTTTATCACAAAACTACAGGTACTTTGCACAATATATATCATAAAACTACATATTTAAGAATTTATTTCACAAAACTACATATTTAATATCTTCATTTATCACAAAACTACAGGTTTAGTGTCTTCATTATCACAAAACTATATGTTTTAGCATTGTTAAATTTGTAGTTTTATGATAATGGAGACACTAAATTTGTAGTTTTGTGATAAATGAAAACACTAAATGTGTAGTTCTTTGATAAACGAATACACTAAATCTATAGTTTTGTCAACAAGTTCTTAAATCTGTAGTTTTGTGATAGATTGTACAAAGTACTTGTAGTTTTGTGATAAACGGAAATACTAAATCTGTAATTTTGTGAAACAAACTTTTAATTTATGATAAATTGTGCAAAATACCTGTAGTTTTGTGAAATTTCCTCAAAAAATTTAGTACTCATTTCGTTTCCCATGTATGAATCGTGTCTTCAGTTTTTTCTGTCACGTTTCGTTACAGATTAGCTAAGCGTACAGTTTGTGTCGGTAAGTACTAGTATTGGATACGTAATTTCTGCATCTACCATTGTACATCGAACAAGATTCTTAGCCTCACATCTGAACTCTGAACAAGTACTCAAGCATTGCCTTGAAACTCACTTATGCTGCATTCGGAATAAAACCTTTTTTCTGTAAATTATATATTTCCGTCGTGGCTTGACTAACGGAGGTTCTCTTTGAGTTAGAAAATGATTAATCAAAGCTGGGAGGAGAATCGCTTTATCTGAAACTCTGAAATGAATGTGACAGAGGAAGAGGTTAGTATCACTGTACAAGGCTGTGCTGTGGTGTGTGTAGCTTTGCGAGAACAAACAGAGCTGGCCCAGAGAGAGACTGAAGCAGCATCGATGGTGGATATACTCCCTCCATCCAAGAATATAGCAACCTAAGACTAATGAGACATCACATGTAATAATGTGTCGAGATATATCTCATATCTAAATACATTATACTAGATGATGTCATATCTAATTCTAGGTTACTATGTTGTGGTACGGAGGAAGTATGTATACGGAGATAGGGGACCCGGATGGGGAGAGCTTTGGCCGCCGATCCTGTGGCTTTTGCGTCCATGCAAGCCGAAAAAGGGAGCACTGAAATCGTGGCCTTTGATCGGCTTTTGCAAACAACACCAGCTGTACTGTAGGGCTCTCTGCTTTAGTACATGACGATGATGATTGATCAGATGATGCGCTAATCTATCTATCACCTGACGTCAAACTTTGCTTTCTGAGGCTGCTCTGCTTTGGTGCGGGGACGAGCCGACGGGGATTTCTCGAGGCAACGCTGCATCGGCGCAGATGTAGGTTGGATGGATCGATGCGTTGGCCGGCCCTGTTCGGAAACAAGTTGAAGAAGTAGCAACCTGTTGCCTTTTGGGCTTTGCAGGCTACTTGTTGATGCTGCTGCTGCTGCAGGCCGAGGCCCAGTACGCACCCGTATCCCGCGGAAGGTGGAGCCGAAGTTCTCGGCAGGCCGCGCGTGCAGGTTGTCCCATAAACTTTCCAACCTACCCAGGCCGAGCCGTGGGTCGACATGGGTAGATCACGCCTGGCGAAAAGTCCGCAAAAGTTGAGCCCAAATCTGCGGCGCGGCCAGCTCCAGCCGCTCGCGCGCACGGGCAGCCCAATTAGCTCTTCTCGAGCCCATGCCCATTTCCGCCCCCCAGGAGTGGGCCTATCCGCGACCTGCCAACGCTACGAAGTGAAGTGCCCACGTCGCGAATCGCTTCAGTGATTCGTTGTAGCCGCCACTACCGCTCGGAAGCAGAGGACTCTCACAAATGCTAAGCGGAACATAATCATGTGTTCGCTTAGCGGTAATTAGTTTGGGTCTCGGCTCATCTGTTAATAGTTTTAGAATGTAAAATTTTCTTGTAACATTTTTTTATCTTAATAATATTTGAATGATCTTCTTTCCTCTGGTCATCCCGATGAGAAGAAAAGAAACATGCGTCAAACTGTCTACTACCAAACTACTCATAACACACGCCGCCATGGTGCATATGGGAGGACCGTTCATGTATGATCACCAGCAAGAGCACATCATTTGGATTTTGGAACCATCGAAAAAAATTTTCTTATGCTTTCGCGAAACAAAAATTATCTTATCAACACTAACATGCTCGTTATTTTTCTCCACTTTTCCCCCTTTGTTGTTGATTTGGTCCGATTGCCTTCCTCCAATAATTCGACAGGTGTACTAGATGAGTGCCTCCCACCGCTGAGGCGCTAACGTAGTTAACCAAAAAACCTCGATTAATTCATTAGTTAATCCTTTCTCTCATGCTCTTTCACTAGCTACCTGTTGCTGCTGCTGCTGGTAACATCCCCACTACTACATACTAATAAAACCAAACCTGAATTAGTTTCTTGTCGCCCACCTCTATTATTTCAGCACTCACTCACCCATTCATGTAAGCATGCTTTGCTAGCTCTGAATTTCAGTTTGTTTAACCAATCCCTTCCTTTTCGCCAAACCAACTGATTCATTGTGCCGTATAGCATTGTGTGTGTCCGTACCTGGCTAGCAACTTAGTGCTAGCTCCTAATTTGGCAGGTCCACATGTACTTGTCATAGCTTAAGCTACTGTTGCTATTATAGTCCTTCAGAACTGAGCCTGTCTGTTAAACTCTCAATCAAACTGAAACACAATATTTACATGGAATATATGAGGCTTTACATGAGTCAATTTGGTGTTCATTTCGTAGAGGGTATATATGCAAATGTCTGTAGCATTTGAGAATATTTTTGCTGCTCATGTAAAGATATGAGATTAACTATACAGGTTAAGGCGTGAATCTGTCATTTTCGATCGTACAAGTTAACAAAATGAGACACCATTTTTGTCGCCGGCTTTTGATAACCACGCATGCAACCAACAGCGATCACAATGCAGAGATTAGAGAAAGAGAATGATAGTACTAGTGGCAGGAGCAAATCATACGCTAATTAATCTTTCAGCACGCAATGGACTGCCAACTTTGTGTTCAACACTTCAACTAACTCGATCGATCTACTACTACTTATTTAATGGTTGGTATAGTGAGCACACCATTTCGAAAACGCTTGGAAAGGGACTGAACAACTTGTTTTCAACGACAAAAAGACGGCCGACTCAGATGTCATGTTTTGAACAATGACATGTGTTTGCATATATTTAGATGATGATATGTTAGTACAGTATATGCTTACACACAATCCCTCTCCACACAGCCTACAAAAGTAACCAAAAGAAACCTAACTTTCTAACTCATCCCACTCACTGGCACATCATAATTAGTTGGAAAAAGACAACAATGATAGTAACTTTCTTCTTGTAATCAAGTTTTGATTATCAATTGCATGCATGCAAACGTTTTGTTTCTAGATGCAGCATGGCATATATACTAGACTCTGTTTATACTTTTCATGTTTGATTGTATAGTAGACTCTGTTGTATTTTTATGCTGAATTTTGTATCTGTACATGATTCCCTGCCTTGGTGAGCATGTGCAGAAGTATCTCAGTACCTGCTAATTTGAATATCAGCTAGCAGAATTTTTTTTGTTGTTTTCAGAACCAATCTTAAAGGCTAATCCAGCATGCAAACTGGAGCTTAATTTTGTGCGGTCCCTTCATGCTTTTGATCGATACAGGCTAGAGGGACATCTGAAAGCACCTTCTCATCAAAACACAATCAGTTAGTCCTCGTCAGTCGTCACCATGCTGCAATCTCCAATAGGCATGATTAATAAAGATTATTCCTTTCTACCTTGGCGAGTAGGTTCAGTTCATGACACTTGTGCTAGTACTTGAGTTCCATGGCTGCATGCCTCCAGAAATCTGTCACAATTACAGCGAAAAATGTGGTATCAAAGGGTTAACTTGCCACATTTTTTCATGAACTTGTTCTGTCAGAGCTGGAATTAGCAAGTATATACATACCAATATTCGTTTATGTGCTGCATCTGCCGGCGAAGAAGAAAAAGAAGCATCAAGAAAGGCAAAGGACGATATCGAATCTAAATGCGAAAGGCCTTTTTGTTCGTGCAAACTATTAAAGGCATCACCTTAAAAGATTCAAAAACCCAAAAACGGACAAAACTGAATCATGTTGCCTCGCTGTCAAACTGACTGTAATCCAACTCCACTAATGCTGCACGCACGCACGAGTTAGGCTGATGAATGCTTTTGTCTTCAAGTTTTTTCCATTGTGTCAGGATGTGATCACCGATAAGGAAAAGTTTACTAACGTGACAAGTTAATTCCTGAAGAAATTTCTGAATGAACCCAGAGAAGTTGTCCAGGTTCTAAACTTCAAACCATCGGTAGCAAAAAGTCGGTCACTTTTCTGCATTTTGCAAGCAAAAACTACATTTGCTTGAGTCTTGGGCTCTGGACTCTGGTTGATCAACTCCCTAACTTTTTTTTTCTCCCTTAAAACAGTGGTTGATATCATGCATGAAGAAATAGTTTCACTCTTCCAACAAAAGAATTTCACTCATGGAAGAATTGATAGCGTCAAAGATCCGAAAGGTGAAGACACATCTACTCCCAACAACTATACCACTACATCTGTACAAGTACATAGCACTAGTTGCAGACCTTGACACTTTGAGACTTGCACTAGTGCCACGGCCAGGCTCCCAGGCACAGAGAGATAAATTCACCAGCCTCGCCCGCGCCTCCTCACACACTTGCAAAGCATTTCAACTACACCAAGAGGGAAAAAACGTGCCAAGAAAACCATGGAGTTCGTCGCCAACGGCAAGGTCATCCTCTTCCTCCTCTTCGTCTCCACATCGGTGCTCATCGTCTCCCCCGCCTCGCCGCCGCGCTTCCACTACATCAACCCTCACAACTTCACCACGCCGGCGTCATCGTCGTCGTCGGCGTCGGCGTCGGCCGTTCACCGTAGCCGCAACAACAACAACCCTTCGCTCTCCTTGGTGCACCGCGACGCGATCTCCGGCGCCACGTACCCGTCGCGCCGGCACCAAGTCGTCGGCCTCGTCGCGCGCGACAATGCCCGCGTCGAGCACCTGGAGAAGCGGCTGGTGGCCTCGACGTCGCCGTACCTCCCCGAGGACCTGGTGTCGGAGGTGGTGCCCGGCGTCGACGACGGCAGCGGCGAGTACTTCGTCCGCGTCGGCGTCGGCTCGCCGCCCACGGATCAGTACCTCGTCGTGGACTCCGGCAGCGACGTCATCTGGGTGCAGTGCCGCCCCTGCGAGCAGTGCTACGCGCAGACCGACCCGCTGTTCGACCCGGCCGCCTCGTCGTCCTTCTCCGGCGTGTCGTGCGGCTCCGCCATCTGCCGGACGCTGTCGGGCACCGGGTGCGGCGGCGGCGGCGACGCGGGGAAGTGCGACTACTCGGTGACGTATGGCGACGGGTCGTACACCAAGGGGGAGCTCGCGCTCGAGACGCTCACGTTAGGCGGCACGGCGGTGCAGGGCGTCGCCATCGGCTGCGGCCACCGCAACAGCGGCCTCTTCGTCGGGGCGGCCGGGCTGCTCGGCCTCGGCTGGGGCGCCATGTCGCTCGTTGGCCAGCTCGGCGGCGCGGCGGGCGGCGTGTTCAGCTACTGCCTGGCGAGCCGCGGCGCCGGCGGCGCCGGGTCGCTCGTCCTCGGCCGGACCGAGGCCGTCCCCCGTGGGCGCCGTGTGGGTGCCGCTCGTGCGCAACAACCAGGCGTCGAGCTTCTACTACGTCGGGCTGACGGGGATCGGCGTCGGCGGCGAGAGGCTGCCGCTGCAGGACAGCCTGTTCCAGCTCACCGAGGACGGCGCCGGCGGCGTGGTGATGGACACCGGCACGGCCGTGACGCGCCTCCCGCGGGAGGCGTACGCCGCGCTGCGCGGCGCGTTCGACGGCGCCATGGGCGCGCTCCCGCGCTCGCCGGCCGTGTCGCTGCTCGACACGTGCTACGACCTGAGCGGGTACGCGAGCGTGCGCGTGCCGACCGTGTCGTTCTACTTCGACCAGGGCGCCGTGCTGACGCTGCCGGCGAGGAACCTGCTGGTGGAGGTCGGCGGCGCCGTGTTCTGCCTGGCGTTCGCGCCGTCGTCGTCGGGGATCTCCATCCTGGGGAACATACAGCAGGAAGGGATCCAGATCACCGTCGACTCAGCCAACGGATACGTCGGCTTCGGACCCAATACATGCTAGAAGTATATATAAGCAGTACACTACTCGTACTCGCTATCAGGCTACCAAGTACCTATACTTTACTACTCCACATGTAGCACGTATACCCCTCGAGTGGCACACACGTGCTTGCCAAGTATGGGCACATACGGAGTATGACCGTACATATTATGTATAGATAGATACTACTCCCTCCGTTTCACAATGTAAGTCATTCTAGCATTTCCCACATTCATATTGATATTAATAAATCTAGACATATATATCTATCTAGATTCATTAACATTAATATGAATAGGGAAAATGCTAGAATCACTTACATTGTGAAACGGAGGAAGTATTGTCCAGAGAAAGTGCAGCTATTAGGCCTTTCCTGAAGTTCTGAACTTGTCAAATGGCCAAGTACTGTAATATGTACTGCAACTGTGCAATGCATGCAAGTTGGAAGAATGATGAGTTAACCATGCATGGTGAGTTGGTGACAGGTTCAGTTCTACCACTGTATCTGTATGCATGATAATACAGCCCCTGGTGCAGACAAATGTAACAAGTTTGTTAGCTTTGCTTGCGTTAGGGGTGATGTCCTGGGAACAATAATGTAGCACATCAGCTTTTGCATTTCAACCTGACCTGTTGTGGGCTTGTGGCCTGTGCAGATGTGGAGACAACGCTAGCAGCCATTTGCTGCGGGAAATGATGCACACGTAAGATCACGCTTAACATAATTTATCTGGAAACTTCAAACAGAGCAGTGTCAGGGAAAAGATTAGTAAATTAAGACCAGTGTCAGTCGCATCCACGTGAACACACGCACGACTGCACGCTCAAAGCACCTGACTGTCAGCACTCACCAGTCAACACCGGGAAGTAAGAATTCAAGGGGTTAAAGTTTACGATGGCTACAGCAGCTTTAATCTACAGGCACGTTAACTATAGTTTATTACTGCAGCGAAAGAAGAATATCACGAGATTCATTAAGTCAATCTATCTGACAGAAAATCTTAAGTCTACATCCTGCTTCACGATTGGGTGAAACCAAAAGGTCCAATTCAACCACATTGGTCGCTTTGAGCTGGAACACCACCAACAAAAAAAAAGAGGCTCACTTTGTGCAGGCTGACGCAATGACTAAAGTACAAGCGTCTCAAGAAAGTAAAAGCTCAATGTCACAGCAGGCAAAGGTTATGCTGTAGCCTTTTTGGTTCAAGAGAAAAACAGCTCGTCTCCATTTTTCCCATCTTCTCACTTTACCCTTATCTCTCATCCTGACTGCTGACACGGAGACTCGGAGTTAAGCACATCAAAGTCAGACAAGATACCAACGAAAAAGCATCCACAAAACTAAAGCATTCGACAAACTGAAATAATGCAATCCTATCTCCACTGCACTTAAACCGAAAATTTGCATTCTCGGTTCATCTACATCGCCAGTGAAAACTAGAAAAAATAAACACAAGGAAAAACTCAAAAGAATAAAGGAAAGAAAATAAGTGGAGGAATTCTCGTTACTGTTATCAACATGCATACAACAATTCAGCATCAATTGCCAATGACCTCAGTTCATGATTGCTGGAAGAGACCCTCTTGCAAGTTGTAGGATCTTACCATCAGAAGTCGGGGAATCCAGATCAGCAAACTAAGAACACCATTCATCGCATGGCATAATCTTTCACCAATGTTTGGCCTCCCGTGCTGTTGTACACAAACATAGCGTCAGAGAGGGAAAGCGAGAAATTATATAACTTTCATTCACAAACAAAACTTGTACCAAGTTAGAATATACATACAGCAGGACAGCTGCTTAAAACAAAACTTGCACCAAAGCTCAAAATGAACTAAATCAAGCTATAGTACTACACAAATGTAAATTCGAACTTGCTAGGAAACAGGGACTTCTATATCAGAATCCAACAAAATGATCCGCTAGAGGCACAAGCAGGCAATGTATGCAATTTATCATCCTTGCAAATTTCAATCGCCCATATGGGCAGCATAATTCACATCCTGACACCATGGACAAAATTCAAAACAGAGCATGCTATAAGGAATTCAGAGTGCTTGTGTAGCTTGGCTAAATCTGAATCCATGTAACTACAAGATTATAACATCTATCGAGCAACTGTGTTGAGCCGGACGACAAAATAGCAATCTCTAGTAAGAACTTACGTGCAATCTAGTTGAATATTCAGAAAACGTGGGTTTTCCTCACTCTGAGACACTTTTACAGAGCCTTCTATAATTTGGTCTTGTTTCACCTCTATAGGATCAGGGAAGTACAGAATAGTCTGCAGAACAAGAAATGACCATATTACACATTTACACCAAGAAGAGCAGGAATAGCGTAATATATTGAATAGATCAATTAAGGATAACACCATTTTCAGAAATCAGAACCTGATGCCAATGAGTTGGCTCATCCTCTGGGGCTGTGGATAGCACCACTGGATCTTCTGATCCTCGGCGCCTTTTCTTACGAATAACATCGAGTGGATTCAAATCGGAAGGAGATTTGTCTGTGGGATTTGAAGGGCCATTGAACTCCACTTCAAACCATAAACCAAAGCCATGAATGGGAGCTTCACATGGAAGATATTTTCTATCAGCAAATTAAGATAGGATATGTATGGTGTATAAACAGAAAGATGAGCAATCAAAGACCGATCAGTAGTTTCAGAACTGAATAAACATTGAAAAATGCAGCTGAGCATTGATGTTTCATATGATAAACTGTATGTGGATGAAGATTGAAGAAGATTTTATAGATTCGAGTCAAATAGCAGATTCGGCATCAGGAATAATATTATACAGGAAAAGAGACGATTCACCTAACATCATGGATGAAACTTTGTATTTAGTTGTGAAAGATTTGAGCTCCTCGGCCTTAAAAGTGTAGCAATCTATGTGTTTGACCTGTAAGTAGACATAAAGAAGTTAATAAGCCTCAACAGGTAAATATGGTTATTTATTTGAAAAGTATTATCCACAACAGTCTTGTGAAGACTCACCACAAATGGCCAGCTCAAAACATTCTCTCCACCGATTATTTCAATGGAGGGCTCCTCCGATGTAAACTTTTTGGCAAGTGGCACAAGTGCAGACACTGTAGCAGTACAAGCACGAAATCAAGTTATAGTGTGCAAAAATCAGCATCCAACATGAGATGGTGAATGTGATGCATAATGCGGCTCTAATAACAAAACAATAGTAACTTACTATTTATGCCATAGACATCAGACCAGAAATCAACACTTCCTTCATACCTCTCAGAATTTGTTATGGGTGCCATGAAGAGCTATCGAAAAGAAGGATACATAGTTAATCAGGCTTAGAACTGTTCTGCAATTTGTGCCAAGGCTTAGAACTGTTCTGTAATTTGTATGCACATGTAAGATAGGTAAGATATTGGTTGCAAAAGTAGGATTTTTTTTCTCTAGGTCTATCTTATTTTATATGCACATGCATGAGAAATAAAATGACATGTGATAATTATATACCGTAGCATGAGATGGAAGGATAAGACCACCAGGTTTAAGCCATTTATCCCTTGCAAACAGGACACTAGGCAGCATACTCTGCAGATCAGACGAAAACAGAACTAGAGAAATCAGAAGGAGATAGAACTAGGGAAGATAAGAGAATATCAAATTGTGACGCAAAAAACAACCATATAAAAGAATGAACCTCATAGAGAAGCATATAACCCATCCACTCTGATATTATCACATCAACCTTATCCTCAACTTCAACATCCTGCACTGTCAATTCAGTGTAAGTTAAAAAAATGCAGATAAAAAAAGTAAAGATGTAAAAATACTAATGTAAATATATTTTCAAACAATAATGACTCAGAGATTGTATCATGTGAAAATAGAGAAGGAAACACAAGCTTTATGCCCTGATAATCCAAACTTTGTATTCAATCTAGTAGACCCTACTTGGCAAATGCAGATAACTCTTCCAGTGAAATACTTAGGGATTGAGAGAATACATATAACCAAAAAAAACATAAATGCAGAATCTTACCTCAACGCGTCCATGAACAACGACGACCTTATCATCCAGATTATTTGCCTTTACAATTTCACGAGCCTGCGCAAAAAGGAGTACATTTATTTGCCGCAGCATACCCATAAGAGTAGTTACTTTTCAAAATAGTATGATCCGCTAGATTACTATAAATATGACACTAATATTCAATATCTGCAAAGATCAAGATCAATACACTATTTTAATATATTGTTATATACTCTCTTGTGAGTTGTGACTGGTAGTATTAACTGGTAACTGGTATTTTATAGAAGATGAGTAGGAAGCTTCACTGTCAATCTTTGTTATGGATACCACTACAAACACCTAGTTCATGAATACACTTGAGTGCTGTCATTTTGCAACCGTGTATTCTATGTCCTTATATTGTATAACTAAAAAAATGGTCCACACATAAACAACAAAAGAACAACAAACAAGATATGGAAAGAATACAATTTAATATTAGAGTATATATCCTAAAAAATAATGTTACCTGAGTTGCCATTTCACTAGCTTCCACTGCATACACCTGTAAGTCCATTTGAATACACATGGAAAAAGTTCACTGTTATAAGGCAGACAAATGGACCAGTGAAAACAGAAAAATACGTTAAGAGTGCCATATACTACAAGACTTAACATCTAGTTGAATCAGGGAAAAACACAGCTGCCATCAGTTAGTTAGCACACACAGATCCATGTCACTTTTGTTAGGACATAGAAATGATAAAATTAAAAGCTGTTTTTCTTTCACAAACAAGAACTGAGCTGGTTTTTCCTTTTGTATAGCACAACAAAATGAAGCATTGAAAAAAATCCATCTTACAACACTTATCGCTGCTCAATTTGCAAGCATGCAAAACTATACTAGTACCTCTGAATCAGCACAAAATGTACTTCTTTACACTAAAGTAGGATTCACTGGATGAGAGAGCACGGTCAAATTAGTTTTGCAAGCATGATCCAAACATTATGCTATGCATTTAAATTGGCCAATCATCTCAGCACAGGGATTTTGTAGCTTACACATTTTGCACCAGCGCGAGCACAGAACACCGAGAGTATTCCAGTTCCACACCCCACATCCATCACAACCTGCATAGCATAAAGTTTCGAAATCAATCACCGAAATTTGTAATCCAATCCCAACAGCACGCAATAATCATCCACCCCCAATTCGGCGAGCAAATTTACCTTCCCCTCGATGAACTTCTGGTGGTGCATGATGGCAGAGCGGTAAGCATCCGTCCTAACGCGATCCTGCCCAACGAAACCGAACACACGTCATCCCCACCAAATCGCGACTTCGGACTCACAACACGGGTCGGCCCAGGGGTTGTGGGGGTTTAGGGTTTGGACGGAGAGGGCGACTGAATCGGGTACGGATGTGGGCATGGCGGCTTACCTTGATCATGGCCTCGTGGATTCCGATGTGGGAGTATGACTGGAAGTAGATGCGGTCGTGCTCCGCCAGCGGAGCGTCCGCCGCCGCCGCCGCCGCATCGGAATCCCCGGTGGCTGGCGGCGAGGCGGCGGAGAGGCGAGGGCAGCGGCGCGCGAGGGGGGAGTGGCCGTTGAGGTGCGACGGCAGCATGGTGTCAGGGAGGAAGCTAGGGATCGAGGGGAGACGAGAGAGATTCAAATGGAGATTTCTGAATCAAATGCGTTCTTCTCTGCTCGCTCCGACCTCCCGTCGCTTTGCGCTTTTTTTTTTTTTTGGGGGGGGGGGGTGGGGTGTGGTTTGCAGTTCTGGATTATTATAATCCAGATTATCATGAGTAATCTAAAAGAAACAGATAACTTATTAAATTAGTTTATTATAATTTGAAGCTCAGCTTATTATAATCTGATAAGCTCATTTAGGTGAACTTTTTTTTTAGATTATTGAGTGAAAAATTACCCACCATGCCACCCCACTTCCTCTTTAGACTTGCAAACCCAATAATCTAGACTCTAATAATCTAGGAAAGAAACAACTAACCGCTTATTCTAATACAGATTATAACAATCTAGCTTATAGTAATCTGACTCAATAATCTAGATTATAATAATCACAAGCTGGAAGAAACAGGGCCTTAGCCTTTTTAGATGGGACTAAAACTTTTACTAAGTCCCTCTCACATCGGATGTTTGGACACTAATTATAAATATTAAACGTAGATTATTAATAAAACTCATCCATAATCTTGGACTAATTTGCAAGACGAATCTATTGAGCCTAATTAATCCATGATTAGCCTATGTGATGCTACAGTAAACATACACTAATTATGGATTAATTAGACTTAAAAAATTTGTCACGCGAATTAGCTCTTATTTATGTAATTAGTTTTATAAGTTGCCTATGTTTAATACTCCAAATTCATCCGATATGACAGGGACTAAAGTTTAGTCCCTGGATCCAATCACCACCTTAGGATTATTATAATCTAGATTATTAGGAGTAAGTTGAAACAAACAGATAGCTTATTGTGATAGCTTATTATAATCTATAAGCCACATTACTATAATATGATAATCCACTCTAAAGGTGTTTTTTTAGATTATTAGGTGGCTAACAGCTAACAAACAACTAATAATCCAGAGAAACAAACAGGTAACAATTTATTCTATGTCGGCTTATTATAATCCAGCTTATAGTAATCTGGCTCAATAATCTAGATTACAATAATCTTAATTGAAACAAACACAGCTTTAGTATATGCATGTCACAGGATGACACTGCGTGCATCTTGGCCGTCCAAACCGAATCGAACGGCTGCTTTACTTGGGCCCGCACGCAGGCAAAACAAATGCCTAACAGGAGGCCACGCGGCCTGAGACGGCCTCGCACCTCGCTCCAGATCGGCGTCCGCCAGCGCCGCCGCCGCGACCGAAGAGGCGCCAGGCCGCCCTGCCCTGCCGCTGCGACCGGGGGTGCGTGGAGGCGGCCGGCCGGCAGGGCTGATGGCGCGCTGATGCAGGCGGGCAGGGCCACATCCCGAGCCCGGCGGGTGGAGGAGGCCGCGGTGCTCCGACCGGTCGTCAGGAACACACTCCGCCCGCGCCGCACCTCCAATTTCGGCGGCCTCGACTCGTTGATGGGGTTCAGCGTACGAGCCCGCACCGGTCAGTCACCCACTTCGTCACCGGCGAGGGGGGACGCCGTCGCACGGCTTCGTCCAGTGGAGAACGCTGCACCGTTTCCTGTGTCCGCGAGGTGTTTGCGAAAATGCCCCCAAGGCTGTGTGGTTCTGTATTGTGAAATGCCCCTGCCCCTGCTCTGTGGTTCTGTATTGTGTGGTTCTCAGGTTCTGTATCGTGGAAATTGATTATGTAATCTTGATTTTTGTCATAAAAAAAGGTGAAACATTATTCAGCAGTTCTGATGTGCTGAACAGGGATATATGAGAACCTGGTTGCAAATGTCTAATTTGGTATATGAGTGGTTGTTGTTGCTTGCTGAGCATTGAGTTGCCTGAATCTGTGAACATTTCAGTAACTGCAAAACTGCAGATTGTATGACCTTAGAACACTGCATAATAATGCGGCAAGTTTTTACTTATAATAGGAGTATGTGAGCTCATTAATTTCAGCTGAAATTGAAATAAGTATAATTGGAGTACGAGGGCCTCCTAGCACTTGTGTCGATTTCTAAGATCGGCAATAAAATTTATAGGGTGCGCTAGATGCTAGAAAGAAATGGTGACACTTATTTATACGGGTTCAGTCCCTCAGGATAGGTAATACCCTAGTCCAGTTGTTTGGTGGATTATCTGTGTATTGAGTGTTGAGTGAAGAGAGTGCCTAACCCCCTAGGAGTGCTGCCGATCCCCTTTATTTAGGGGCAGGGTGATCGGCGGTAAGAAGGATGCGATATCCCTTGTAATCCGGGTACATGCCATCCATCAAGATACGGCGGATAGGTTTCTACCGGACGTTGCCGTGATTCATTGACTAGACACCATCGTCAATCGAGGATCCGTGTGAGCAAGCTGCCATCGTTGGACAGCTTGCCTCCAGGTTATGGAAGCCTCTGCCAATATTGATACTACGTACGGTTCTGTTTGATCCCTGGCTCACTGCGAAAGTGGGGAAAAGATGGCAGAGATTTAGAAGCGACCATGATTCCATGAATTAGAATATCTAGCAGTCAGAAATCAAGGATTGGTACCAACGACAGGGAAGACGATCTCCTTCGATGCTACTCCCTCCGTCCCAAAATGACCGAATTCTTCGGTTTTCGTGTCCAACATTTAATCGTCTGTTTTATATGAAATTTTTTTATGATTAGTATTTTCTTTATTGTTAGATGATAAAACATAAACAATACTTTATGCATGACTTATCTTTTTAATTTTTTCATATTTTTTTCAAATAAGACGAACAGTCAAACGTTAGACATGGAAACTCAGGAATTGAGTTTTTTTAGGACGGGGGAGTAGTGCCTAGTTGTGCCCAGGTCATGACGCCGATCGGCCGAGATGGACCACCACGCCGTCGTCGCTGTACCGCCGATGGATTACCTGTAGCCACCGGGCCTCGCTTCCTGGCCGAATCGCCGACGGATCGCGCTGGCATCATGGCCGAATTGCCGATGGATAGCGCCATGGACGCACGCCACCGCGTCTGTTTCGCCAGAGATGTCTCGCTTTACTGAGAAATAATCAGCGATGGTTAGTTAAATTATCCCGGGATCTCTTTGGCTGTGTAGGTTCGATCGGATATGTGATCTCTGCGTTGGTTGAATGGATGGACGGTCGACTGAAGCATGTGTACGTACTCACCGGAGTATATAATTATTTTCCTATATTATATTACTCCCTCCGTCCCATAATATAATAGATTTTGAGTTTTTACTTATATTGTTTTACCACTCGTCTTATTCAACAAATTTATGCAAATATAATAAACGAAAAGTTGTGCTTAAAGTACTTTGGATAATAAAGTAAGTCAAAAAAAATAATAATTCCAAAATTTTTTGAATAAGACGAGAGGTCAAACAATACAAACAAAAAATCAAAATCCCTTATATTATAGGACGGAGGGAGTATATATTATTACAATGTTAAATGCCTATCACTTATATTATACTCCCTTCATCAACAAAAGTTACACCTATTACTTCCTGTTACTTTTGTTACCATGACCAAGGAGAAATTAAATCATCTTGGATGTTACAAAATTAAAGAGTAAATGCAATCATGCAACCAATGAGTATTTAGATGAATCCTTGAGTTCTAATCAAATATTTAATTTATCTATTCATTTAAGTCTTAAGTGCATAAAGACTACAAATAGGAACAATTTATTTAGAAAAACTCAAATGTGAAATATGTGTAACTTTTGTGGATGGAGGGAGTATTCAAGTTTCAATCAGCAGTTCTGTATTCCTATCAAATTACTTAGCTTTATTAAATACCTCATTTCTTTTACAGCTTCTAGTTCTACATTTATGCGTTGGAACAAAGCAGTTTTTAACTTTTTATGCTTCATTCTGGAGAATTGAAAGATAATTTGAATGGAGCTAAAGTTTTTTTGGAGGATTATAATTGCTGATCATGTGAGCAAATGCACAACAAAAGGGAGATGAGGAGGAGCAGCAGAAAAGAGGGAGGCCCGTGGCGTGTGCAATGCGTTCCTGTTCGTGTGAATTGCGAGCGCAACACTAGAACTTCCTGAAGATATTCCCATGACGAACGGGCAGACTTCTTGTTCGTGTATGGACCAAATTGTTGTGCATGCACTAGAAAAGTTGCGTTGTATTATTTTGACGAAATGTTAGGTACAAAAATCAACTATCATAATAATGAGGTTTATACTCTGGGTTTGAGGTCTAACGACCAACATAGAGTTTGCCAACATGCTAAATTAACCTCTTGGGAATTTTGCAGTTGGTTTGCTCATCAGCACTAATAAGATCTTAGTTAACCATCTTAATCATGTATCACAGAAAATAAATAAAAGATAGGCATGCAAGTGTGAAAAGTTTTTTTTTTTAGGGGAAATCAGGATTTCCATTACTATGACAATGCTGAATCATCAACAACCAGGTACATCATTTGTGCCGGAATAGGAGCCAAAACAGGGGCCTCCGTCGGATCGCAGACACTACCCATAGCTGCCAGTTCATGAGCTACTCTGTTACATAGCCGAGGTACATGACTAACACTCCAGGAAATGAAATTCAGACGCAGTAAGTGTGAAAAGGTTTCTCATGATGTCGTCTCCATAGTTCCTCCTTTTACCATGAGGATGCAATTATTGCCTGAATCTATTCACCAGATGCAAATGTTATATGAATTTATTCACCAAATGAAAGCCAGTATATATGTTTTAGTAATTTTAGCAAAAAAAAAAAAGACCAAGGCATATCATTTTTCTTTCAAAGTTGCGATGTTATTTTACAAATGAGGCTACGTACCAAAACTTTTGTTAAGCAATTTCTGTGCACTTGCTTTTCATAAGCAACATAGTGAAAGTTAAAAGAACAAATGCCACCGTACGTTAGTACCGGCATATTGTTAGGGTCTGTTTAGATCCCCTCGCAAAATTTTTCACCCTCTCACACCGAATATTTGGACACATGCATTGAGTATTAAATATAAACGAAAAAAATAACTAATTACACAGATTGCGTGTAAATTGCGAGACGAATCTTTTAAGCATAATTGCTCTATGATTTAACAATGGGGTGCTACAATAAATAATTACTTATGACGGATTAATTAAGCTTAATAAATCCGTCTCGAATTTACATGCGGATTATGTAATTTATTTTGTTATTAGTCTACGTTTAATACTTCAAATGTGTGTCCATATATTCGATGTGACACGCCAAAACTTTACAACCATAGATCTAAACACCCCCTTAGTTAAACAATATAAACAATACAATAACTCTCTCCAGAAATCTCAAATCTGTCATTGTATGCTTGCAAGCCAAAAAATAGGTTATTTTGCTGTTGTGTTTTTTTTATTAACGCAATCACTAGTATCTTAATAAATGGATTCTGTAGTACTCCCTCTGTTATCAAATGAAAGGAATTTACCTTTACAAATCAAACTTTTGGAAGTTTGATTAGATCTAAAGAAAAAACAGTACTCCCTCCATTTCACAATGTAAGTCATTCTAGCATTTCATATATTCATATTGATGTTAATAAATCTAGACACATATATCTATTTAGATTCATTAACATCAATATAAATATAGGAAATGCTAGAATAACTTACCTTGTGAAACGGAGGTAGTACTATTTTCAACAACAAACAAACTATTGCAAAAGTATATTCAAAGATAATTTTAATTAAATTAATTTGATGTTGCTGCATTTCTATATAAACTTGAGTGTTTTGTTTGGTTACGTGCACGCTGACTGCCTTACTAGTTGGAAAGGGTACTACCGTAGGTGACAGAAAACATCAATATCTCAGGAATAAATTAACGAAACTAAAATAGGACATAATACACACTACCAAACCAAACGGAATACCCAGATGTCTTTTACAGCCCTAGTCCCAAAATTATTTAGACATACTACATACTCCCTCCGTCCCTAAATATTTGACACCGTTGACTTTTTTTAATATATTTAATCGTTCGTCTTATTCAAAAAATTTATGAAATATGTAAACTATATGTATACATAAAAGTATATTTAACAATGATTCAAATGATAAGAAAAGAATTAATAATTACTTAAATTTTTGAATAAGACGAATGGTCAAACATGTTTAAAAAAGTCAACGGCGTCAAATATTTAGAGATTGAGGGAGTAATAGATAAGAGAGTTGAACGCAAGATCCAAATTATTCAGAACACTCTCTCGATCTCACCGCTGCCATTAGGCACGTGAAGTTTAGACTCATACTTGATCATTCGGAGATCCCCCGTGCCGCCATTTGCAATGCCACTACTAGTATCATGGACACACGGCACGACATCGACACCAGTCAAGACAACAAAACGATTATCAACTATTTGATCATAATAGTAGCCCATGAGATGGCGAGTGTAGAAAAACCTTGCAATGCAGAACCTGCCAGAGCCCAGACTGACAAGATGAGAGTTGGATAAATCCCACCAATTCTTGGGTGGGGAAAGCTCCATCCAAGTTTTCAATAGCTCTGGCTGCTGGAAGCAGTCGTCGTCCATGGCGGAGAGGTCAGTAGCAGCCAAGTGGTTGGTCTTGGCAGAGAGGCCAAACCAGAGCTTGAGCTCGGGTACATACTTAACCTTGCCGTTGAAGGGCAAGATCCACTCACCGACATGCCTCCATGTATGCTTCACTGTGTCCATGCAGTAAGTGCCAGCCCCTTCAACCGATATGCACATCTCAGAGCCACCACTAACCACTGCGTACGAGGTGATCTTGGTGCGTATGTTGGAGAATTTGGGGTCTCGGACGAAAGGGGGTGGAGGGAGGGATTGGCAGGTGGACGAAAGGTGGCGGCGAGGGGAGGGCGTGCGGTAGACAAAGGCCTCAAACTGATCGCTGCGCGGCCCACTGCTTGTCGACTTCGGTTTAACAACAGACTCCATGATGAAGAGGCTGCCGCTGTCATTATCAACTCCGGTGCTGGGGACAAACAAGGAGAGTGGGAATCGCTTGGGCTGACAGAGGCCGGGCATGGTAACAGCGTTGCGTGTGTCTCCGTCGAAGAGAAAACAACACCCATTCTGGTCGATGCAGAGCACCTCGCGACCTCTAAGCGGGAAGCATCCAATCTCCCAGTGATGGGCCACACTTGAAGCTTGGAAGTTGAAGATGGGTCTTGGAAGTTGAATACTATCCATGCTGCTTGCGCCGGCCTCCTCCTCCTCCTTATTATTATTCTTCTGCTTCTGGATGCAGGCATCAGCCGCGATAACTTTGGACTCTGATCCGTTCCGATTCGGTGGAGTAGCGTTGAAGAAATTCTAGAGCGTGAGGTCGATGCAGCGCAGCGATTTGGATCCAGGGAAGCCGTTGTCCACGATTAGATTCAGAAACCTCCGGGAGAGGGCCATTATCGGAGTGAACTTCAAAATCAAAATAAACAACACGAAAAGCATTTGTTACCAAGAAGTAAGGATGAAATCATCAAAATCAAAATCAAAATAAACAGGAAAGATTTGTTTACCAAGGGAAGGGGAAAAAACAGGCCTACCTTAGGTCCAGGTACAGCTGCTATTGTGAGGGAATGAGTGATTCCAGCAAGGAGGAGAGCGTATAGTTGCAGGGTTGGCAAGAAGGCATCAAGTGAGCAGCCTTATATAATCATCAGAGAGAACAAGGAAAGAGAGTGGATGTAGATCTCGGGGAAAGGGCATACCTCGCCAAGCCGGAGAAGGGAAGGAGGAGCACCCAGCACCCCCAACAGAATGGCGGCAGCCGGCGGGGATGGGAGTAGGGAGATCTGCTAGGGATAGGTCTACCCGACTTGGGTAACCTAATTAAAAGATTCGTATTTTTATATCTTATATTAACTAATAACCTAATTAAAAGATTCGTATTTTTCCTTTCGTCACTTGTTTTTCGTCCGTGTAAGCGCTAATTGTCCGCATTGCTCACGATCCCCTCCACCCCTGCGCATCATACCCGATTACTCGGATCGAAAAGAATCCGAAATAAATAAAACAGTCAAGAACAAATCCCATCGCGCCCATCGTCCTGAACCCCGATCGTTGTTTGCATCCTCAGAATCAAAGAAAGGAAAACCAAGTTGTATTAACAAAATCCTCCCAAAGTTGGAATAATTGTCCCAAAGTTTCATAGCTTTAATACTACCACCACAAAGCCAAGAACAAGAACAAAAGCTTAAAAAACAAATAAAAATACCAATTAAAAAAACTAATATTTGGTCTACCTCTAGCCGCTTGAGGGTTTTCACCCTCTTCTTCAACGACTACAGCGGGCGGGTTGCTGGATCAGGCGCCCCCGAGCTCACCGCCGCCAGATCTTATAGCCACAAGATCATGCTGGATGAGAGAAAGCAGGAGGAATCGGAGAGGACGACCCAGATCTGGACGCTTTGAGCGGCGGCGGCTGCGGCAGCCTCATCTGCCTCCTCTCCTCTCCGTCTTCCCCGCGCCCTTCCGTCCCTAATCCGGTTGCCGGAGCTGCGGAGCGATGCATGGAAGCAGCGAGCGGTGCCGGTGGGGATAGAGACAACGCGGTGGAGGAAAACAGCGAGCGGCGCGGATGGGGTGGAGCCGTGGAGGCAGCGAGAGGCGCGACCAGAGACGGAGGAAGCGAGAGGCGCGGTGCTGGAGGGGAGCAGCGATGAATTGGGAGTTTTAATCCCAATTTTCTCTGTAGGGAGAAAATTGGGATTATACTATCATAAAAGAATGTTTTCGCTGAAATGCTACCGCTTCAAAGTGATTCACTGGAATGCCATCCTAAATTGAAGGTGTTCACTAAAATACCATTTTTGGTTATTTTTGTAAATAAAAATGTTTTTGCTCAATTTTATATTTTTCTGGACCAAAATACCTCTGACGCGAGCCCCACCTGTCATAGTCTCTTCCCTCTCTCTTACCACTTTTCCTCTCTCGATGACGCCGTCGGCTGGTGGGGGTGGCGTGCTGCGGGCAGTGGCCGGCGGCCGGGAGGCGGGCAGTGGCCGGTGGATCTCGCGACCGACGTAGTCCTCATCGCCGCTGAGGTAGTCCACGCCATCACTGTCCGCATCTCCGAGGTCCTGCTCGACGTCGGCTTCGCCATTGACCTCGCGCACGCGCTCGACGTGGGTCTCCTCGCCGCGGAACACCGTGCAGCTCCTTGTGGACGGGCTCGTCATCCAGGCGCCTGCCGCCCTCGGGGTAACCCATGGTCCCGGAAGCCCCCGCCGCGCGGCGGACATCCGCGATGGCGCTCTGGTAGGCCTCGGCCAGCAACAGCAACTCATCTTCCCCAACTCTCTCCACTGCTACTGTTGTCGCTGGCTGCCCCTACTCCTCAAGATGTGGCGACCAGCAGAAGCAACAACTCAGCAAGACCAGAGCAGAGCATCGCCACCGCATATTTTGAGGGAGGCCGGGGAGCTGCTCGCGTCTGGGCGTGCGGACGTGAACTACGCCGGGGTGGTGTGGCTCAAGGCGTGCGCTCTTCCTCGCCGCCGGCAACGGGGACGCCGCGCTCGTCCGGGCGCTGCTTATGAGTGCCCTTCCCCTGCCCGTGCTTCTCGAAATTCGAGGTGTTCCAAGCCGGGGATGCCGCCGTGCCACCGAGGAGCAGCTCGACGACGTGCATTAGGCCACGCTCGCCGGCCACCGGCGCCCGTCCTCGAGACAGGAAGAGGGGAAAGAGAGGGGGAGAGGGAATGACAGGTGGGGTCTACATCAAGGGTATTTTGGTCTGAGAAAATAGTAAAATTGCAAAAACATTTCTATTTACAAAAATAACCGAAAATAGTATTTTGGTGAACACGACGTGCAAATCGATGGGACCACTTGCTACTGGTGGGTGCTCGTACTATTCAATTAGAGCAGGTACAATAGCAGGCTAATGCTATTAGCCAGCTATAAATATATTTTAATGAGATATACAATGAGAGATAAGAGCAGCGGGCTACAGATCTGTAGCCAGCTACAGCACAGACTTTAAGACATACTGTGTGTATGACAGGTGGGACCATATATTAATAGTATAGTAAACAACTATTGTATGAATTAGCTATTAAATTGGCTATAGATGAATTAGAGCTAGTAGTGGGCTGTACTATTAGACTTGCTCTTAGTAGTACGTACTCCTACTTCCATTCAATAGATTAACTACTCCCTCGATTCCAAATTGATTTATATATAGTCTTTTTTGAGGTTATTCCTAAATGATCTACATATTTGTGTTCATTCATTAGGTCTATTTGTTATTTGTACATTGGAGTAAATGAACATTGATGCATGCATCCATGCACATAAGCATTTATAACCCACATACAATATCTTGATTTGCTATTAGCCAGAAAATAGTGGGGATGGTGCATGCATTGAGTTTGTTGCTAGAGTAAATATAGTATAAGAGAGTTATTAACTTTTCTTGGTCTTGATGTACCTTTAAAATATGTAGATCAATTTCGAATAGAGGGAGTATAATGTACTCTGTCAGACAAAAAGAGATATTTTTCTCGTTTCGGTTAATGAAGGCTGCTAACTAAAATAAATTAAATACTTACGACGGAATTTCTTAGTCTCGATATTTTCAGTCTCCATCATGCTCTTTCAGTTTGGACTTTTTTTTTCCCACCCCATTGATGGATGTATGGACGGCGGATGGGGGAGCTCAAGCGCTGGGAGTAGGGATGGGATAGATGATGGGAGTGGGAAAGCACATGATCATCTGGTATTTCGGCTTTTTCGGGTACCTAGACCGGATAAACAAAACAAGAATCGATCTTCATAAACCCCAGACCGTACCGCAGAGTAGAATCCGATGATCGACTCACCAGCGGTCAGTTTTTTTCACCCCTAGCAAGGCCCTGCGCTTCACTAACCTTCAACGCATATTTCACTAACCTTCAAGATAAATACTTGATGTATTAAAAAAACGAACGAACTTAGAAACCGACTCAAATACGGACGACGTACTAAATTATCGGCGAAAACATCATTATTATTTCGGGACACATTAACTACTTCAAAAATAAGTAACTTTCTGATCATCATAATTTTTTCGTCCGTGAGTCCGACCGAGCGACGCCCTCCGTCTCCGCACGTGCGTAATCGCGTACAACAACCAAAGCAAAAGAGAGAGAGAGATCCATACAAAATCCTAATCGCGTAAGGAGTACAAATCATAACATCAAAGATCGATTGAAAAAACAATCGAGCAATCATAGTCTTGCATGCATTAGAACTAAACCAGCCGATAATCCTAGAAAAAAAAGAAGAAAAATAAAAGTCGCACAAGTTGCTAGAGCAGAGAAATCAAGGAGGTGCAACAAGTTATTGGCGGGACCGCGGGACAAATCAATGACGGTATTGCTGCTCATAGTCCATGCCTCACCTTGAGCCACCAAGCATTGGCCGGCGTGATGGGGCAACGTAAAGGACCAGGCGACCATCGACAGCTCGGATGAAGCCCGGTGCACATGGTCTACATCAAACTGGTACATAAGGATGTTAACATGTGTTCAACACTTCATTTTTCAATGACATAACAAGTATAGTCCAAGCCAGTCCTGGCCTGCTAACCATTCTTAGCGACTTGATCCAAAACCAAATCTCACCCAAATGCTTATTATTTAATCTGAAGTTCTTATTCAATAATCCAAACGAGTAGAAATCACTTCTCATCAAACAAATCCCCTGCTCCTTGAAGAACAAACAAATCTTGAAGAAACAAATCCCCTGCTGCTTGAAGAACAAACAAATCTTGAAGGAGGAAAAACAATTGACCGGCCGTCGTCGCTGCGGCACAAGGTGTGGCCGGCCAATTGGAACTGCAGCCCTCTTCCATGGCAGCTCGAAGTTACCTGCTCCCAGTCTCCCAGGCCGATGGAGCCAGTGATGGGTAGAGAGTTGGAGGCAGCAGCACGGGTAGCGTAGCAGGCTCGCACCGAACACACGTGGGGGTTGGGGATGGCTGCTGCGGCGTCGTCTCGCCGAGGAAGATGGATGGGCGACGAGGAAGACGAGAGTAGCACCGCCGCCGTCTCCCGTCTCGGCTGCGGCGGTGTCTCGCGTCTCCCAGAGACCCAGTCTCGTGCCCTAATGTGGTGGCGCCCAACGGGCTATGCGGGATGGGCCAAACAATTTTGCAAAACCATACGGGATGGCCCGCCCGCAAATTTACGGGCTTTTTTGTGGGGCGGGACTACGGGCCATAAAAAAAGCCAGCCCCACTTGCACCCCTAATTTTAACTCCCTCCCATATACTCCTTCCATCCCAAAATATTTGACACCGTTGACTTTTTTAATCATGTTTGACCGTTCGTCTTATTCAAAAAAATTTAAGTATTTTTTAATTATTTTTCTATCATTTGATTCATTGTTAAATATATTTTTATGTATACATATAGTTTTATATATTTCATAAAATTTTTTGAATAAGACAAACGGTCAAAAATGTTTAAAAAAGTCAACGGCATCAAACATTTAGGGATGGAGGGAGTAACTTCAATCTAATTCACATCCCTGAATCACAATACCACATATCTTTACACTCAACTATTAGAACTGGTTTAATTTAACTCTATCAGTGGTTTTGAAGGGAGGTTTCGCTGATGTGACGCTTTGACTTGGTCTAAGCTGCCGAGTCATCTTGTGGAGCCCACCTGTCAATGACTATATCTCTTCTCTTCCCTTCCTTTCCGCTTCATCAGATCGGTGCTACCTCATCTTTTGCCTTCCGCTCCACGTCGGGCCACCGTTGGGGAGAAGCGCGAACGTCAGGGGGAGTGGCGACGAGCCGGCCCATGGCAACGAGCTCGCCAGGTCAGCAACGGGCAAGACGACATACCGAAGACGGTTCAGCTTCGTCCTCCTCGACATCTCCATGCCCTAGCTTGCGCCTGCTGCATGTGCTTGAGTAGCGGGTATAGCGGTAGGGCACCGCGATCTCCTGGCTGCCGACGGCGGCCGGGTCGTTCCCCTCGACGACGACGACGCACACACATGAAGCCAGCGATGCACCCGGCGGTGGAGAACTGCACCGGGCCGAGGAACTTCCCTTCAGGCACCAAATGGCGTAGGGACGACGACAACGAGATGACAGCTTTCTCTTTTCTCTTTTATTTTTTATATGTCTTTATCTCAAGATCTGAGCTAATCAAGTTGTATTTTTTTTCCATTTAATTTTTAAGTATTTATCTTAGAATTTGAGCTAATCAAGTTATTTGAGTTAGCTTGATTATTTTGCTTCATGGCTTTTTTCTGATTGTGTGCCATTCTATACGAAACAAATTATGCCGAACATCCTACTTTCAATGGAAGTGTTATACTCCCTCCGTTTCATAATGTAAGTCATTCTATCATTTTCCATATTCATATTGATGCTAATAAATCTAGACATATATGTTTATCTAGATTCATTAACATCACTATGAATGTGGGAAATACTAAAATGACTTACATTATAAAACAGAGGAAGTAGTAATTTTATTTCCTTGCTTTTTACTTATCTGTCATAGAAGGTAGATCCGTCATATACGTTTGGATTGATTTATTTGTTAGGGATGAGTTGTAACTGTGTAATTTCTCTAGCAATATCATTCTTTTAAAGTGCTCCAATCTTAAAAATTAATCATCTCGTGAAATTTGAGTGTTGCCGATGCAACGCATGGGCACTTTGCTAGTATATATAAATAGTTGGAATAAGTACACCGAAGGTCCCTCAACTTGTCATCAGGATAAAAAAACGTCCTCGAACCGTAAAACCAGATATGCGGGGTCTCTTAACTAACCAAAACCAGTCACAATATGTCCCTCGATGGTTTTCCAACCCAGTTTTGTCTAACTTGGCGGCTGAGTCAGCGTGGGACCCACGTGTGCCCCCACATGTTAGCTGGCCATGTCATCACCCTCTCCCTCCTCTCCCTTTCTCCTCTCTCTCTCTCTCACTCTTCTCCTGTTTGGGTAGGCAGCTAGGGAGGACGTCGGCGGGCTGTTGCCTTCGGCGGGGCGAGGAGGGAGAGGACGAGGGCGTTGGCGGCCGACGATGGTCGACACGACGGCGACGCTTGGAAACTAGCGACGCGCCGTCGGCGCTGCTCCGCCACCGCTCTCGCCCGCCATTGCAGAGGCCGCAGGCGCAGAGGCGGGCGCCATCGAGGAGGAGGTAGGGCAAGCCAGGGGGTGGGGAGGCCAGTGGGCGGCGACCTTCTCACCGGCCATGACATCGCTCGATCTGGCGGATCTCATCGAAGAAATAGGCGTCGTAGACACCGCTTGCGTGGGCGAAGTGGACGACGCTGAAGAGGCGGTGCTTCTCGACATGGGCGAGCGCGGCGTTGCGCCGCTGCCGCACCCCGCCATCCGACCGCGTTGTCGTCACTACTATCAGCATCCGCCTCGACCTACTCCCCTTCTCCTCCTCGTCGCCCATGTCCACCACCGCGCCGTTCCTGACCCCGACCCCGGCCGCCTCCGCCGCCGCCGCATCCAGCACCAAGCTCACCTGCTGGTTCACTGCGACGTGAGACGCGGCAAGCTAGTGGTGCGGCTGGAATAGGAGAAGAACAACTAGCGCGGAGAAGGAGAACAGCGGGCAGCGTGACTCCGGTTTTGTCCGACATGGTAGCCGACTCAGCGTGGGTCCCACGTGTCAGCCTCTTCTTCCCGAGGGACCTAGTTTGCACTGGTTTTGTACGTTGAGGGATGCGTTGTATTCGGTTTTACGGTTCGAGGATGATTTTTTAACTCGATGACAAGTTGAGGGACCTTCGGTGTACTACTATACTACTACTACACTACTGTATACAAACTTTGTGTACGCGTATACAAACTTTGTATATATGTAAATACATACATATTTGAAAACCGAAAACCAAGAAAAAAACAAAAAAAACACCACGTATAGAAAAAAAACCAGAAAAAAACGAAAAGAAAACCGAAAGAAAAAAAACGAGAAACGCCAAATCTGGAAAAAAACAGAAAAAAACGAAAAGAAAAACCGAAAGAAAAAAAACGAAAAAGAAAACGAGAAACGCGCGCACGGCGCTCCCGCGCCGTTCCACCGCGGCCCCCTCTCCGCGCGTGCCACGTGGCCGCGCCGCGCAGGAGGGGAGGCCCGCGACTGATCGCTTTTTAGCGATTTCGGCAGAACCTATCCCTAGCAGATCTCCCTACTCCCATCCCCGCCGGCCGCCGCCATTCTGTTGGGGGTGCTGGGTGCTCCTCCTTCCCTTCTCCGGCTTGGCGAGGTATGCCCTTTCTCCGAGATCTACATCCACTCTCTTTCCTTGTTCTCTCTGATGATTATAAGGCTGCTCACTTGATGCCTTCTTGCCAACCCTGCAGCTATACGCTCTCCTCCTTGCTGGAATCACTCATTCCCTCACAATAGCAGCTGTACCTGGACCTAAGGTAGGCATGTTTTTTCCCCTTCCCTTGGTAAACAAATCTTTCCTGTTTATTTTGATTTTGATGATTTCATCCTTCTTCTTGGTAACAAATGCTTTTCCTGTAGTTTATTTTTTATCTTGAAGTTCACTCCGATAATGGCCCTCTCTCGGAGGTTTCTGAATCTGATCATGGACAGCCGCTTCCCAGAATCCAAATCGCTGCGCTGCATCGACCTCACGCTCCACAATTTCTTCAACGCTACTCCACCGAACCGAAACGGACCAGAGTCCAAAGTTGTCGCGGCTGATGCCTGCATCCAGAAGCAGAACAATAATAAGGAGGAGGCCGCCACCGCCACCGTAAGCAGCATGGATAGGATTCAACTTCCAAGCCCCATCTTCAACTTCCAAGCTTCACGTTCAGGTATTGACGACTATTGGAAGATAGACTGCTTGCCGCTTTTTGATCGCAGGGTGGTGTGTGCAGACCAGTCGGGACGCTGCTTTATCTTTGAGGCGGAAGAAGACGCGTGGTTATGCTGCCCTGTCTTCACCAGCCCAAGGAGATACCCATCTCCATCTTCGTCCCCTGCCTGGAGGAAGCCGGTGACTTCGACGGTGGCAACCTTTACATAATGGATAAGAGGAGTAAAACAGGAAAGTTAGGAAACAATCAATTCGAGGCCTTCATCTACTGCCACTATCGTGGAAGCAGCACCTTGAAGTCCTGGACCCGCCAGATCCTCCTGCCACCGCCATGTATCTATGACAGAGCATACTTGGGCAGGTACCTGGAGATCAGTTCCTATGCTTTGCTTGGTGACGGCTCGAACATCTGCATCTCTGTAAAAGGTGTCGGCACCTATTGTATGGACATGCGGAGCTTCACATGGAGCCACCTCGGCAAATGGATGCTACCCTTCACCGGCAAGGTTGAGTATGTACCTGAGCTCAAGCTCTGGGTTGGCATTTCTGCCGACACCCAAGACTTGGCTGCTGCTGATCTCTCATCGATGAATTCCCAGCCACAGCTACTAGCTACTTGTAAGGAGTTTGACCAGCCAGAGGAATGGAAGCGATGCAAGGATTCTCAACTTGTCAACCTTGGCTCGGGCAAGTTCTGCATTGCAAGGTTCTTTCACAATAAGACTCCCCAAGGGGACTCCGATGAATTAATTGGGAAGAACATTACTGTCTTGACCGGTGTGGAGGTGGTGCCGAGTGTTTATCATGCCAATGGCAACGACAACAGTAGGAAAGGGGAACTCCAAATGATCCCTCATAAATCGAGATTGTATGCTGGCAGCGATACCATCTGGGCAGTGTTGTGAACAAGTTCGGACATTCTCCTGTGCTGTCCATTTCATACTTCGATGTATTTTGATAGTCACCTCTGCAGTGGTTTGTAATGAAGTCATGCTACCATTTAATGGCACTCTTAATTTGTGTTATCTCCTTATATGAGTGACGACTTGGCTTGCCGAGTGTTGAGCTCTAGGATCATAATTATAACTGTAATTAATTGGTATCACTGTGACCCTGTTCTTTTCTTCAACAAAATTTGATAAAATTTTGGATACTCGTGGCACGCTTTTCAAATTACTAAACGATGCGTTTCGTGCGAAAACTTTCTATATGAAAGTTACTTTAAAATGTCATATTAATCTATTTTCTAGTTTGTAATAATTAAAACCCAATTAATCATATATTAATATCATCTCGTTTTGCGTATAAAACTTCATCTTCAAGAGAAAAGAACGTCACTATAGAAATAACGGATTACTAATTTACCGGCTCACATTCTTCATTGTGTTGGTTACACTTTTTCCTTCATGGTTTTGGTTTCACTTTTTCTATCTTACTTTGTCTCTGTTCATCATATTATAAGTCTTCCTTTCATATTATAATAATTAAGTCGCTTTGAAATATTATTAATCGCTTTGAAACAAGGGAGTATGTCTTAGATTTTGTTTCCTGAATTGGGACATGCTTGCCGAAATAAAAAAAAATGGTAAGGTTTGTGCTATCCTAGCTCAAAAATAGGATTATTATACCAAAATCACTTCTTTTAGTGCCAAAAGGAGGTGAACTATAGGAGTCGGAACGATATGCGCGTAGTAGGAAGTGGGGGACTTAGCTTGGATTCCCCTGGTGTATTTTTCTCTAGGGCCTGCTTGGGATTTGGGAACACCACATATTTTTCCCCTTATTTTTAATGAAAATACACCTGTAATTCTCGTTTACCCAAATCACCAGTGAAAAAAGAGTCGTTGGTATGCTTACCGTTTGAAATGTGAAACATTCTTCAGGAAAAGCTGTGACAATTAAAAAAGCATAACATCTTTGATCGATTTGGGGACGAGGATTAGAAACTGAGTGCAAACATTCCAATTAAATTACAGAGAGAAACAACACACCATAGCTAGTAGGCTGTGTTCCTTTCCTTGCGTTGGAAACCCATTTTCTTCACGTATAAAACGGAGCGGCATATTTTTTTTTATAATTAATTAAATATTTACTAATTTTTTTTAAAAAAAATGGGTTAATATATCTTTTTAAAGCAACTTTCGTATAGATAATTTTTTTTAAAAAAATACCATTCAGTAGTTTAAAAAGCGTGCCCGTGTAAAACAAGGTAGATGAGTTAGTAAAGTTGGAGAAAGAACCGATCGATCAAGAACCAATCGCTAAAAGAGCTAGAAATATAGTCAGTTCTCCGAGTGGAGTAAACCCATAGCAACTTGCCCAATGGTTGAATATTAATACCGGTTCGTTTAAAAAAAATGGTTGAATATTAATTGCATCTAATCCTATCTTACTATAAAGTTACCCCCACTAATTCCTTAAGCTCATACAAAGATATCACATCATCATCCATTAATCCACTAATTAACAAGATGCCACATCATCATCCATTAACAATCATCACATTTAAACATCATGCAAACATGCTATATCTTTATAGTTTTTATAATTTAAGAGTTTTTTAAATATAAACATGTTAAATTATCATCCAACATAATTCATATAATGTTTTAATGTATATCTTTATTGTGTTTTATGATATCCTATATACTTATATAGTTCATCCTCACTTAGTTAGTGTTTAAATGATTAATCTATGGTCCAAATTATCTTTCTTCTTTTTTCCTCTAATTTAGTCATATCACATCAATTGTTTTTTAGCCTTTATATGATTAATCTACGGTCCAAATTATCTCCCTATTTTTCTTCTTCCATAAAGTCATATCACCTTACTTTTTACGTTTGAATCACCGTGCTACATACTATTTAAATTTAGACTATCATAAAGCACATTAATTTAATTAATCTGATGTTATCTAGCTATCTTACACGTTATTTTTTTTATTGTTATCATACTAAATTCCCGCAGCAATGCGCGGGGTTTCACCTAATTTATCAAATGATGAAGGGACAATTGCTCATTTTATCCTCTTTTGAAGTCAAACTATCAATCTGATCTTGTTTTTTCAGGTTTGTTTATTTGACCCTCTTGAAAACAGATCAAGGCTTTTTGTTTATCGTGAAGACAATATAACATTGTTAACTAAGGGATAAATTGCCATTCTTACCCTTGCTCATTTGACCTTGAAATATCAAAGTTTTGTTTATTTGGACTTTTTTGACATATTTAAAACAAGATTTGCAAATTTTAAAATGTCAGATTTTAAGTTTTTGCCAAATTTTGGATGTTTACAATCTTATGTTCATAATAGGATATTTTGATAAGTTTATCCAAATTTTGGAAGTTTTTGTCCTAGGGGTATTTTGGTCATTTGGATGAAATTGTACCGTGCTAACGGAGGCTAACCGGACGGCGATGGTAAATCGTAGAAGTTAAACAACAACCGATGGCATATTGTAGAACATAACAAAGTCAGTGGTAAATCGTGGACGTATGACAAGTCAGTGGCATATAATGAATTCTCTCTTATGTTTTATATTCATCGTATCATGTATATTTACTAGTAACTCCTTCATGCCTCCATGTTTTCAGTATTGTTATGATGCTCTAAGGACATGTGCAATAATCATTAGACATAGGAGGTTTTTAGTCCTACCAATTGGGAATATTTTGCTAATACGAAAAAGAAAAAAAGAAGATGACGTTACTGTAGTTAACAGTGGCTCAACAATGACTTTTGACCTCTATATTGAAAACATGGTTACATAAGGGTGAAAAAAAAGAGAGAATAGTAATAAAAAATTAGTCAATGGTTAGAGATTTATAGTCTCAGCTGTTGTATCTAATGACAGTCCCTAAATAATCTTGTACTACTATTACTTAAAAGTAGGGATGAAAACGGACGGAAACTAGCTTTATCATATTCGTTTTAATATTTTTTTTCGAAATCGGAATCGGAATCGAAAACTTGGATACGGAAATGAAATCGAATATTATCGAATACAAATACGGAGCGAATACGAGACGGAACGAATACGGTAGCGAATATTTATCGGTATATAAAAAACCCCTCAAATTGAGTTTCTTGATCAAGGAAGAGATATCGCTTATTATTTTAGTTCAACATCTCCAACATTTATATCGTCAATTTTATAGACGGTCCCACAACTGTATGTGGAAATCGATTTTCATGGCTGTTCCTCTAAGAGATCCATATGCAAATATGATTATCATTTTCTATTCCCGAGACCTTTCACTAGATGTATAACTTACTTACCATTGTATAAATTGGAGATTTTGTTTATTTTACTTCACATCTTCGAAACTTGTAATGTTTGTATTGTACTTTAAATGCTTTCAAATACAAATGTTATAAACTGCAAAGTGGTAGATCCCATTGAGCTCTACAATTTTGATATGGAACACATCTCCTCAGATGTCGTTGAATTGTAGATCTGAGATTTTGTAAAAATTAATATGGTATATTATAATGAATATTTAGACCCATAAATGACCTCAAATAATAAAATAGTCAATAATAAAGTTGTAGATCTCATCGAGCTCTACAATGTTGATATAAAGTTTGTCTTCATCTGATTCCGTATGAAAAAGTTATGTATATATACGTGTTTTTTATATAATTTGCTTAATGTCTGCGGATATCTGAAAAAAATTCTGGATAGTTTCCGACCGTTTTCTGATTCCGACGGATATTACCCTTACTGTATTCGTTTTCGTTTCCAAGAAAAAATATCCGAATTCGTTTCCGAATCCGAGAATTTCCGGATAATTCCGACTGAAACTATCCTAATCCGAAAAATGGTCCGGACGGACGAAAACTATCCGAACCAGTTTCATCCCTACTTAAAAGCTTACAGGGTGGTGCTAATATAGCTAAACAAATAATAGGGTGATGGGATGATCCTTCTAGGTAACTAACCATGTTATAATTCTAGCTCATGAATTACTCACTTCATCCCATAATATAAAGAATTTTGAAGGGATGTGACACTTCTTAGGACTACGAATCTGGATAAAGAGCCTGTCAAGATTCGTAGTCCTAGAAAGTGTCACTCCCCTCTAAAATTCTTTGTATTATGAGACGGAAGGAGTATTTGTTTTTGTAATATTTAAATCCATGATGTAGAGTATTATGGTCAAAAATAGCCTTTTTAGATAACTAATATACTGGTAGACATAGATTTACCTCCATTTTACTGCATGAATTCCATTTTTTATACATATAAGATAACTAGATAAGTCCCATATATCCATGAACTGAGAACATTTATTTACGCCAAACATTATATGTCTATATTGGTAAAACAATTAAATATATCTGTTCTTTATAAACCGCTATCACGCTTGAAACACGACAAAACTTGTTGAATATAAATAATTGAAAAGATGCAAATCATGCTCTCGCTATCACCGGTAATCAGGAGCATATGGACAGCGACAGGAAGAGATAAACACGAACTCATGATTAATACTGCCTAGACGCTGTTGATTTTTTATCTAACGTTTGATCATTCGTCTTATTCAAAAAATGTATATAATTATTATTCATTTTAGTGTGACTTAATTCATCATCAAATATTCTTTAAGCATGATATAAATATTTTCATTTTACACAAAAATAAAACGAATAGTCAAACATTGGTTAAAAAGTCAACGACGTTATACATTGAAATACGGAGAGAGTAGTAACCAGCTAGTACATCTATAACACCCAAAAAGAAAAGTCCCTCCCCACAAAATCACAGAAAGAGAACAAAATGAAAAAGGAAAAAAAAAGAAAAAAAAAAGAGACGGAGAAATAATACGGCCGGCGTCGCGCCAGCCAGCGGCCATGTCCGCGTCTGCATCCGCTGTCTGTCTCCTTCCTCCCCGAGGAGGAAGCCTGGCCCGACCCGACACCGCACTCCCCCCAGCCAGCCAGCCAGCCACTGTCGCGGTGAACCAAAATATCCCCCGCCTCGCCTCGCCTCGCCTCGCGGTAACATCCATCACACTCCTCCCCCGCCGCGGCCGCCGCTGCGCGGTAGATCTCCTCCTCCTCCACCTCCACCGTCTCCTGCTCTTCCTCTCTCTCTTCTCGGAGGAAACCCCCAATTTATTCCTTCCCCGCAAACCCGCAGCCTTCCTAAAACGAATTAAATCTCCCTCCCTTATCCGCCGCTGCAATCCCTCCCCACAAAATCTCGCTGCGCCGCGCGCTGTTTTAGGGTTTGAGCTCATGGCGGTGGAGGAGGCGAGCAGCAGCAGTGGCGGCGGTCGTGGTGGGGGTGGCGGTGGGGGTGGGGAGGAGGGGTTGTCCGGTTGCGGCGGTGGGTGGACGCGCGAGCAGGAGAAGGCGTTCGAGAACGCGCTGGCGACGGTGGGGGATGACGAGGAGGAAGGGGACGGGTTGTGGGAGAAGCTAGCGGAGGCCGTGGAGGGGAAGACGGCCGACGAGGTGAGGCGGCACTACGAGCTGCTGGTGGAGGACGTCGACGGCATCGAGGCCGGGCGGGTGCCGCTCCTGGTGTACGCCGGCGACGGGGGCGTCGAGGAGGGCTCTGCGGGAGGTGGGAAGAAGGGGGGTGGTGGGGGAGGAGGTGGAGGTGGAGGGGGGCATGGGGAGAAGGGGTCGGCTAAGTCCTCTGAGCAGGAGCGCCGGAAGGGGATCGCCTGGACGGAGGACGAGCACAGGTTAGCTTTGCCTTCGTTCCTATCTACCAAATTGCATTGCTGCTCTAGCCTAGACAATATTTGATGATTGCAGAAACTGGCTTCTGTTCGGAGCCTGTACAACTTCACTGTTTTATTGTGGATTAATCCGTCTAGTCATTGTAAATGGAAGTTGAAATTGAAATGCTCTGGGAATTTTGGAAATCGCTGTTTAGACAGTCTAGCAGCTTCTTTTGGTTGCAGAACTGCATACTTGTAGGTGTGTTGCTCTTCAGCTTTCTTTGCACTGGACAATTAGGTAGCTCCCTTTTCTATTTCTTGAATAAATGATTGCATAGGAGCTAGAATAGTAGTTTATTTAATCGTGAATTAGGTACCGCTTCTGTGTTGTTGGGAATTTTGCCGATTGGTTTGTCTTGTTATTGCAGCCTGTTTACGATTTTGGAAATTACTGCTTCAGACCCCAGGAAGTAGGCTTGTTGGTTTGTGTGTGCTAGGTTTTGTCCCGCATGGTTTTTTTATGGGTTTCACCACTTGGCAGTTTATGTTACATCCTGCATAGTTCTTCTCAGATGGAGCGGCTGATTACTTGTGCTGCATACTTGTTTTCAACTGGAAGTGGTTCATTGGAGATGTTGTTTCTTCCTTGCTAGTTTCGACAACTCCAGTAACTACTTAACTCAATCAATTTTTGAATTATAAACTGTTTTCTAACAATAACCTATTCACGTTACTTCTTATGGTGGATCCTATGCATTTCGAGCTACATCCCACTGATTTAGTTTTAGGTTTGTTTCTCATTTCTTCTTGCTGAAGGCTTGTTTAATTGATTCATCTTAGCATATTTCACCTTCCTCCTAAAAGGATGAGAAAATTCTGTTCATAGCACAATTCGTAAAATACAACTAAGCTTTTTCTCACTCTGCTTAATACCATAGCGCATCAGTTTTTTGTTTGAAAAATACCACCGAAAGACCAAAATAATTTTACTTCAATTGCAATGCAACAAGACCTACCTCTTACGCATTCCTGTTTGCTGGGGTTCCTCTGGCGCGTTCTCCTTCTCTTTGTTCAATCTGACACCTCCATTAGCTCATACATCATCTTTAATCACAAACCAACAGATCAAACAGATAGTTTATCAAATATCTTTGTCACCATTACAGAAATCTCCTATTTCATAGGTACAAATAAAAGAAAGAAAGCAAATCTGTCTGCTTGCATCTACTTTGATTTTCCGAACGCCAATGCTCAATCCCCTACATAGCTCCAGCAGTTCATGGAATACAAAATTAAACTTGGTCATTTGGCTTCAAAGTGGAGTGAAGAACGATGTTGTGCATGTGCGCCTTGGCTTCCAGCTAGAAGATCGATTAGCCATTGACCTGGGTTAACACGTGGTGAGCCAGCAGGCTAGCGTCACTGGCAAGCAACCATACGGCCACATCCACCAAGCGCGTTTGCTGTGTGCAGGTTGGAGGGACGGCAATCACCATGGACGTCGCTAAGCTTCGAGCTCACAGGAGTTGGTTGAGGGTGAGGCGGTGGCACCAGCAAGTGACCACACTGCCGCGTCCAGCAATCGCGAGCATACAGGGGAGGGGAATGGCGGCCACCACTAGCCCGTGCCTGCCGAGAATGACGAAACACAAGCAGGCCCCAGCAGCGGAAGAGGGGGTTAGATCAAGGGATTTGAGGATTTGGAGGAGATGGGGAATTATTGTTCAGTCAGGAACTTACAAGATGGGTTCGAATCATCTAGGCTCAATCTGAGGGACAATTTTGTCCAAATAAACTCCCGTTAGCTCAAAAGATGACGGTAGTGGTATTTCCCCTAGAAAAACCCACAACCTGTGGCATTATGAAGGTTTGTGCTATTTTCTGAATTTAATGGTCAGCGTGTGTCATGGACGAATTTTCCCTAAAAGGAGTTAGAGGAATCAGGACAATGGTAGCTTATAACTGATTTTTGTCCATCTTAAATTTATTTCAGCAAAATGAACATTTTGAACGCATTTGTTTCACATTTCATTTTTTTTTCCGTATTTGATATGCTAATTTTAGTTGAAATTTTCCTGCTAGCTTTAGACCGGAACAAGCTAGTACATGCTTGCTGTGCGCATATAATTGGTTTTTGTGTCTTTTAGACATAGTCCTGTTTTCATTTGCAACCTGTTTCTTCCATGATATTGTGGACAGTATTTCTGGTCCAAGGAGATAAAATTTTGATATCTTATTGGCATATTGGTAATATTGAATGTGTTTTATCAGTATATAAGGCAGTATGCTTGTCAGATCCCCATATAAAATGATGTGATTATCGTGTATTTTTGTCTGTTTGAATGGCTGAATGAGTGAAATAGACATAACATACCAAGATGATGCAGAGCATGAAAATACGTTTCAAGTAGAAGTAACCTGATGCCCTGATGGATGCTAATGTGTTGTTCGTTCATTGCCATGTATGCACATGCATGATATTGATTACAACTCAAGTGAAAGCATGGTTGTAAAAATGGCACAACTAACCTCCTTTTGTTCTGATGCATAAATTTGTAGCTATTACCCCTCTCTTCAGGATGAGAAATATCCAAAGTTGATTAATTCATGCAGACTGCCCTTTACTCATATGGTTATTGATGTGTCCTACCACTTGATTTTAATTTGCAGGCTGTTCCTTCTTGGACTTGAGAAGTACGGCAAAGGCGACTGGAGGAGTATCTCAAGAAACTTTGTGATCTCAAGGACACCCACCCAAGTAGCTAGTCATGCACAGAAGTATTTTATTCGCCTGAACTCAATGAACAGAGAGAGGCGGCGATCAAGTATACATGACATAACCAGCGTGAACAATGGAGATACATCTGCTGCTCAGGGGCCAATCACAGGTCAGCCAAATGGCCCATCAGCAAATCCTGGAAAATCCTCTAAGCAGTCTCTACAGCCAGCAAATGCGCCTCCAGGCGTCGATGCTTATGGTACGACAATTGGACAGCCAGTTGGTGGTCCTCTTGTGTCCGCAGTTGGCACTCCTGTTACACTTCCTGTTCCTGCTGCACCTCATATAGCCTATGGCATGCATGCCCCTGTCCCTGGAGCTGTAGTCCCTGGTGCCCCAGTAAACATGCCTCCAATGCCCTACCCCATGCCGCCACCAACATCTCATGGATGAGGGCTTTGAATACTACAGTTCTTCTAGACAAACTCATAATATCTGTCTTGTTTAGAGTTTCAATGCATGCTGTTATGTCTCAATAAAGCAATATCAATAAACTCTTGTACATTACAAATGGTTATTGAATGTAGCATTTTGAGGACATCCTGGACTGTATTTATCATCTTTGTTACGCCTGCACTTCGTTCCATCTTCAATGTACGCCTGCCACCCTGCCCCAGTCGTAAAATGGTTGGAATGCTGAATCTCCTTCAGCCCAGATGTAGTGGTTTATTATCTGAAAAGTAAATATCGAGTCAATACGTAATCATGAACATATGTAATGGTTCAGTAAGTATCCGACTATCTGATTCGTAATTATGAACAGATGTATTGGTTCACTACCTGATTCGTACTAGTAATGAACCTGGTGCAGGTACAAAGAGATCGAAACCTTGCCGTGCTGCTCTAACTCCATTTTTGTTGCACTGGTTATTTGCGTCACACTAATAATCATGGTGGTCGTACGTGACGTAATAACGTATTATGTCGTCAGTTTCGCTCTTATACATTTTTTTTTGTCTGACAAGTTTCTGCTTTTTAAGAGCGTGCCAACTATAGCAGAAAAAAAGAGGCAGCAAATCCTGGAAAATAGCAACGTTTTACGTTACATTCCGAGTCATTTCCATCCGTCACTTCCTGGTTTGGGAGGTGTTACCGTTACCATCCTAATTTAATTCCTCCTAATCAGTAATCACCCTTGTAATCAAAGCTTCTATGATTTAATCATTCGTGTGAAACCAATCGTAAAACCCCAATTTGGTTATTAGCATTACCACGATCCCATTGGCTTCGTGAGAGACGCGATTGCAAACCGAACGGTCATTTCCATCCGTTTTTATTGTTTTTTCCGCTCCCAACGGGCCGCGGCCCACGACATCAAGAAAGCTTCTCCCATCGGCCCAACTCCTCCTCCCGATCTCTTCTCTCTCTCTCTCTCTCTCTCTCAGGCCAAGCGCGACGAGGGGACGGCGACGCAAACCACAAGCCAGCGAGCAGCCGGCGACCACCGCGCCATCAACGGCGTTCGAGATTCCCCTGGAGATCGCCGTGGTGAGAACTCGCCAGGTATGCGTGTGCTCCTCTACCCTAAACCCTAGCCCGATCTCCTCCGGCCATCCCGCCTAGCGCGACCAGGTCTTCCATTCCCGCGCGCCTTTCCGCTGCGTCGAGTCGACGCCGCCTTCCTCAACCAGCACCGACCTCGGGCCGCCGCCGTCTGGTCGCTTTCCGCTGGATCGCTGCATGTTAGATCTGGGCATTCCAGTTCTTGAATTTTGTAAAACAATTTTGTTCTTGATGATATGATACTGATCAAGTGCGAATCCGCCACTTTGGCTCAGCTGCAAAACCCCTCACTCATTTCAAATAATCTGATGCTGCATTTTTACTGTAGTTGATTTACAGTTTTTTTAATGTGTCGACAAAGGATATTTTATATCAACAAAGGTTAGAGATTATGTCATATTTTCAAAATGCAGGAACATCTCTGTCAATATGATTTATCATTTGTTAGGCGATTGCAGCATCCATCAAGCTGCAACCCACTCAACACATCCGTATACCCTTTTTGTAGTCATCTGAATTTGATAACTCTAGAATGGTGAATAGTCATGTTAGATTGTGGTTCTTTTAAAAAAAAAAAGTTAGATTGTGGTTCACTGGTTTCAGTCTTAATATGCTCAAGCCAGAATGTACTTGATCATCCAAAATTCCACATAGTTTGATTTGTGGGTAACTTAATATTGTAAGTGAGATTCTTATCTAAAACTGTTGGATTACCATAGTACATGTCTTAATTTTGGATTTGGTAAATCACATAATTGTAACTTTGTAACGATTGAGCATGCTGGCGGTGTTGGTTCTTTTCATTTGGTTTTTTTAACTATATTGCCTACAAAATTTTACGGAAGCATTCCTGAATAAAGTTTATAACTATAGATATTCATTTTCTTATGATTTCAGCATGAATGCGCAAAGCAAGTTTCATAATTTGTCTGTCATGTTTCAGGATGAATGTAACTTATGAAGCCTACAAATCATTGATGTGATTTTAGCTTAGCTCAGATCAGGATTGTGGACTGTAAAGGTGAGCATTCGTGGAAGATTGTTTCTATCTCATTCAATTTTGAACAATCTCACACTGAATTTTCATGTGGAGGTAGTGTATATGCAATAATTCTAACAGTTTCTACCTATTTATTTATTTTTTTAAAACTACAATTGATTTATTTTCACCTTGCCTTTTTTCTTAACAGTGTAACAGCAAAGTGAGCTCCCTTTCCCAGAGAAGATTTTTTTGGTCATCTGTTCCCCTACAAAAAAAAAAAATCCCCCAAAGTGAACCAAGTCTTCGAAATCAAAAGAGAGCAGGAGGGGGCACCTACCCCTTCAAGCCCACGGCTACTTCCACCATCGGTCCATCGTCTCTCACACTCTCTCACTCTCTAAACAGCACACAAGGCAAAGCTGCGTGCTACGTGCGCGCGCATGGCTGATGCTAGGGGCTCCTCTTCTTCTTCCGGCGATGGCGGTGGCGGCGAGGGCAAGGGCGGAGCAGGCCATGGTGACTTTGTGGGGGGCGGCCAGCACAACTGGTACCATGGGATCCTTGGGGCCGTGCCGCCGCCCAACGTTGGGCGACAAAACATCGTGCACCATCAGTACCCTGCTGCTAGCTTGATCCAGCAGCACCACCAGTCGCCAACAATGCCGCTACCGATGGCGCAGCTCCCCTACGTGCCCCAATACACCGTGCTGCCTACGCCCGCCGTGCTCCCGTCGCACCACCACCACCACGGCCAGTCGCAGATATCTCAAGGTTAGTTCTCTCCTGCTCCACATACATGATACTCCTTCCGTCCCTAAATATTTGACGCTGTTGATTTTTTTAAACGTGTTTGACCGTTCGTCTTATTTAAAAACTTTTGTGAAATATGTAAAACTATATGTATAGATAAAAGGTACATTTAACAATAAATCAAATGATAGGAAAAGAATTAATAATTATTTAAATTTTTTAAATAAGACGAACGGTCAAACATGCTTAAAAAATTCAACGACGTCGAACATTTAGAGACGGAGGGAGTACATCTTAATTTTCTCATGGCTGAATTTGGCACGACAGATCTTTTCCCCCATAGGGTTTTTTTCTAGGTCGTTCTAGGGTTACTTATGTGCACGCAGAGATCTGTGTGTTTTCTCATGGCTCATGCTACCTAGATGTGAGACCCGGTCTTGCATTTCTTGCCCTCGTCAGTGTTATTATTCCTGCCAACACTTGATGCTTCATGCTGTTTATTCTTTAGTTCCTTCTCGCTTGTCTCCCAATATGACCTATCATTAATAATTTTGTTTGATCGTTCTTCAGAAAACTTCCAAGACTGGGTTCCCTCCAACAATGTTGCAGCTCCGCATGTTCCCAGCGCTTTTCAGGATTGGAGGCAAATGTGCAATGGGTCGGCATTCATGCCTTTTGGCCAAACTGCTGCCAATAGCAATGTTTTTTACCAGAATCTGACCTTCAATTCATGGACTAGCAATAACATGCCGAGGAACCCTGTCTACACTAGTTTCCACCCTGCTGCAATTGAGGATCACCATGCTCCTCTATTCCATAGCAACAATCATGACATAGACCCAGGTACATATATATGCACGCATGCATGGTCTTTGACAAATATTAAATAGAATATGTACATGGATTGATATTCTGTGCAATTATATATAGAGGGTTAGAAAAGGGACATTACTACATTAGGGTAAACCCTCAGGGCTACCAACAACCCTGGGAGAGTAGGATAAAGTGAGTGTTTATGCAAAGTGTGGAATGGGGATTTGAAGTAGAAAACTGTAGTGGTTGTAAACGGTTTGTCTCATAAACCACTTACCCTATTTAGATTAGTTGAATACGTAATTGATATTTAAGATGATTGTTCCTGCTCTACCAATATGAACTTCGCACTGTCTCGTGCGAGTCGTTAAACAAAAAGATATTTAAGATGATTGTGCTATAAGTAAAGGGGATATATAGGTTATTTCCTTTGAAGATTTAAGGGCATCCACAATGTAGAAATTGAGGGGGTCATAAGCTAGACCCTTAAGTTCTACATATACATTGTGGAGATGGTTCTTACAGAGTTTTTGGGAAACCGACACTTGCATGGAGTTGACATCGCCGGAGCTCCACCCGCAAAAGCCACCTCACCTGCCACCGCCGGAGGTCTGCTCACGAACACAGCCCCTGCCACCGTGTCACAGATCCATGCGAGATGCCGCCGTCGCCAAATCTACCGCTGCTGTGGCCTTCTTCCGCGAGCACCTCCACCATCAGATCCGTGTGCGTTCGCGAGGGCCACCATCACCGCTGCCAGATCCGCCCGCGGCCTCCTCTCTCATTTGTACGGTGGCTTGGTGTTTTGGCTTGTTGGGAAAAGGAAGCTGGGGGAGAAACGAGAGAGGAAGAGAAAAGTGGTGGCTGGGATGGTAAATATTATTGTATTGAAATATGGGGCCCAACTTAATAACTCTTCTTGCTATGTACATCATAATGTTGGATCGCGCTCCTCTGACGTAAAGTCAGAGGGACGTGGGTCACTGACGTGTGGGCCCAACCTTTGTGGGTCCTACATGTCTGTGACAAAGTCCCTCTGACTTTACGTCAGAGGAGACTCATCCCATGATGTTATACTTTAGTTGGGCCCATTTGGGACCCACCATAAGGCCAAGGCTGCGTTGGATTTAACATTTGGAGATGGATTTTCTACCGTATGCAAAATAAGACGGGCTATTAGCGCATGATTATTTGAGTATTTATTATTACAAACTTGAAAATAGATTTATTTATTTTTTTAAAGAAACTTTTATATATATAATTTTTGCAAAAAAATGTACCTTAGCAGTTTGGGAAGCATGCTAACAAAAAAGGGGAAGTTGTAATTTAAAGTTAGAGGTAAGGAGGCCTTAAGCCATATATACACACATTGTATTTATTAATTCACCATGCATTTCATGTAAGTATGCAAATATATATGGGGAAACTATTTTGATCCCTTGAGGATCCCCTATATGGCTGTGTGCTACTACTTTTATGCATTGCCTCACTCTAAGCATCTTATTATGTGCAGGCTTTTAGGCTAACTTTTTTCTTTTTTTTTGGAGATAGGCTTTCAGACTAACTTCAGGATGGATCAAGCATTTGTACCTGCTTCTTCACCTTTTCCACCGGTGTCATCATCATCCCATAGTTTCTCCTCAGCTAAAATTTCAAATGGACCAACATATACTAAGAAAGCCAAGAAATCAAATGTAAAAGTAAGACTCTTTTAGAACTCGTTGATAGATTTCGGGTTCATATGAGCAGTCCTAATGTGAGATTTCTACAGGATCCACCAATTGTCTTCAGAAGGAGCGATATGGAGAGCGAAAAAAACGATGATAATCCAGATCAAACTCCGGTTAGTGAGCCTCCAAGCATGAATCAGAACGGTGAAAATCTTATTATTGTAAGTAACACAATGCCATTCATCTTGAATGCTACTATTCTCTATTAGTACATGAATGCATTTTTAACTGTTCCATTATTGGTAGATTAAAAGTATCATTAACAATTGGTAGATTAAAAGTATCAGTAACAATTTCATTACTTTTTAGGATAATGGCAACTATTCCACAATTTTTTAACTAAATGATTCTACCTTTAGCAAGGAGGATTAGATTGACTTCAATCAATTCGTTCTGCATGTACATCATTATAGTACGCAGTCTTCCCGGGGACACTAACTTAAATCTGAACTAACTCTGAACTTCCAAGCAGAGATTCAACTGTAGAGAATACCGTGTTATCTTGCGCAAGGAGTTAACAAACAGTGATGTTGGTAATATTGGAAGAATCGTGATGCCAAAGGTAAAATCTTGTATATTCTCTTAATTAAGTGACATCAACATATTATATTCTACAACAGATACTGTTCTAGCACGAACCACACAACTACTGTGCGATATATTTAGTTATGAAGTCTTGAGAGTTGAGTGTGATTTTATTTCCTTCCAAATTTTGTAGAGGGATGCAGAGGCTCATCTTCCAGCATTGCATCAAAGGGAAGGTGTGACGCTGAAAATGGATGACTTCAAGTTTGAAACTACATGGAATTTTAAGTATAGGTAATCCGATCATAATATCATATTACTAGTCTAGGGAATTGTGTACAGATCACCAGCTGAAGTTCGAATATTATGTCTGCAATGATGTAGTAACACTATGATCTAATTCTATCCTATTGTGAGAAAGTACTTTAAATTATATCAAGTGCACGTGACATCATTTCTTCCATGTAACCCAATAATTATAAAGAAAATCTTAAACGTAGAATAAGATAGATTATGCTGTTATCTATTGGTTTACAAATATACAAACTCAAATGTGATCTATACATGGAAAAAAAATCAGACTATGTAAAGTGCAATCGCATTTATAGTCTAGATAATATGTCAATCTGCTTCTATCTCTCTAGATAAAATTTGACCTTCACATGTTTGTGGAGCAATAGATGATTGTACAATAATCTTCTTTGTTAGTTTTTTTTCTTCAAAGTTTTTCGTAAATCGTAATTATCTGGGTCACATGAGAGAAACGCGAACATATATGGCTTATAATCTGCGTCACATATTACTGATATAATTGGAGATACCTTTCAGGTTCTGGCCCAACAACAAGAGCAGAATGTATGTCTTGGAAAGCACCGGTACGTTTAAACACTGAAGCATATACTTTGGATTTTTCTAAGCTTGTACTGAACTTGATGGATTGCTCTCTTCAGGTGGTTTTGTGAAGCATCACGGTCTCCAGACAGGCGACATATTCATCATTTACAAAAGCTCGGAGTCTGGGAAATTTGTATGTCGATCATAACCACAATTCCTTATTCATCATTTACAACCTATTGGATTTCTTGTTTCCACACATGGCTAATCTTTTCAAATGTATTTCCTAAAGTTGTATTACTGTTGTATATGATATAGTATGTTGCCTTATGCCTCTTTTGAAGGTTGTTCGTGGGGAGAAGGCCATTAAGCCGAATGCCATCATGCCTGTTGTGGACTGCAGCTGCAAAAATGAACTCAACAAAAGCGAAGAATGCGGGTTCACCATCAGCCTACAGACCAAGAAAACCTGATGGAATGGCAGCTTCAGGTCTTGACTTAAGATCAGCATAAGAGAGCCTTATTAGAAGGCAATGCATGTTGTCATGTTATTGAAGAAATGTGATAATGCTCCACAGTTTTTAACTTTGTAGATAAAAATGCAAGATTGTAAATTATTATTTAACAATCCTTATTTTTGACAAATAATGGTCCACATTAGAGATTGCAACAGAGAATTAGCTAGAAACTCTCTTTAACTCATACATGAAACTCTCAAGGCCATGAATACACCATCTTATACTTGCAACATACAGAGCCTATATAGCAGTTCCATACTTCGCAAGTCGTTAATGACAAAACATATTCCTCCGTCAAAAAAAAAGACAAACCCTATGTTTCCGTGTCCAATGTTTAACTGTCGTCTTATATGAAACTTTTTTATAATTAGTATTTTCATTGTTGTTAGATGATAAAACATGATTAATACTTTATGCGTGACTTGTCTTTTTAATTTTTTTCATATTTTTTTAAATAAGACGGACGGTCAAACGTTGGACACGGAAACCTAGAGATTTTCTTTTTTTTTAGGACGGATGGAGTAGATGCATTCATAATAATCTAACAATATATATTTTGTATCCTATATCATACAACATCATCATCCATCTTGAAGTCTAGGTCTTTTTTTTTTGTAAAATGGGTTTTTATAACTGAAAAAGGGATTTATAAAATTAATTTAAGAGTGTGCCAACTATATATAGCAAAAAAAAAGCAAATCCTGTAAATAAGATAACTGGCCCCATCCTTGATGATCTCTCTGGTCTAGGTGAGCTCCGTGCCATTTACTTCCACAACGTACGGAGAATCCGACGGTGAGGACTACAACGGTGATAGAAGCGGCCCCGGTGCCGGAGAGGTGGCCGACGAAGGTGTGCGGGATGCCGAGCCGACACCTCACACAAGCTTTTGTATGGAGGCCTGGAGAGAGGGGGGAGAAGTAGAAGAAGATTGGGCCAGTGACATTTGGGTCACACGCTGACTCAGCCGCCACGTCAGCTAAAACCGCTCTTAATACTGTATTTAGACCTAATGTGACCTGGTTTTATAAGATTAGAGATATGTTATATCTTACATTCTGGTTCAAAGACGTTTTTAAAACATGACGATAACTCGATAAGAGATCTCAAAGTGAACTTTTTCCTCCTCCTAGTCATCCTTCTAAGACTGCATTCGGTATAGGAAGTTCCCAACCCTTCTCCCTCGTTTTCCGCGCGCATGCTTTTCAAACTAATAAACGGTGTATTTTTACGAAAGTTGCTTAATAAAACATATCGATCTATTTTTTAAAAAAAATTAGCTAATATTTAATTAATCACACGTTAAACGCTGCTCCATTTTATGTGCTAGGGGATGAGGGTTCCCAACACTCCCTCCCGAACGTAGCCTAAATGTGGTCTACGACTCTACATAGTGGGCCCCCACAAATTCCATGGCCCATCAACTTTTGGCCCAGAATAGGCAATGGCCCAGTGATGCTACCGATGAAGCGATCCGACGCGCCCGCATTCCCCACGCTGCTCCCTATTCCCCATTCCCCCCACGCGACAGTGGAGACGACAAGTGAAGCGATCGCCACAAGCCGCCATCCGCAGCGCCGACTCCGACGCCGGACGCCGGGCGCCGCGTCGGCGCCGAGACGCTCACGCCGGCCGGCCATCACGGTATAGCCACCACCGTGTCCGGCATCCGGCCAGGCGGCGCAGGCGGCAGGGGAAGGCAATGCTCTATATACTTTCTCTCCATTTCTTTCTTATATTTTAATCAGTGTAAAACAGTAGTAGGATTTGCTGCGTTCTCTGTGACTGTGATTATATTAACGGCGATTGTTTTCTTCAGATTTCAGAAAGCCTGAGTTTGGTTGGTATTGTTGCGCGAAGATAAACAGGAAAGAAAGTGAGATCAGGGAACAAGTGTCTAAGGAGAAAGTGGTATGCCCTATTATATGGCTGAAAATTATCTCATCTAATAGTTTTATTGTATTCTTAGAACTCCAACTGAAACCTTAGAGACTAACAATGGTTACGGGCTTACGGCAAGCTATCAAGGAATTATTAGATAAATTAAGGATACAATCATACAAACTACGGTGATTTGCTAGTTCAACATAATTATTGGTGATATGTTTGAAATAAATTAGGGAATGATGTAATCATCGGTAATTTGGATGTTTATACTAAGGGCTTTAAGTGTTCATTGATACTTCCTCCGTCCCAATATAAGTGCAATTTTGCACTATTCACCTCCAATGTTTGACCATTCGTTTTATTTAAAAAATTTTTATGATTACTATTTTTATTGTTATTAGATGATAAAACATGAATAGTACTTTATGTGTGACTAACTTTTTTTAATTTTTTCATAAAATTTTCAAATAAGACGGACGGTCAAACGTTAGACACGGATTTTCATTGCTGCACTTATTTTGGGACGGATGTAGTAATTGTTATTATTTAGATGTTTATACTAAGGGTTTTCGTGTTAATATTTAGAAATGTAGACCTAGTTTGTCACCTAATTATTTGTTTCTCAAAAAGGATAATTGGTTTATTTTTCACTCGCCTTGCCTTATTTTTATCAGTGTGAAGACGAGGCGAGCTCCCTTTTGGGAGAAGATTCCTTTTTAGGCATATGCTTCCCTACAAAACTTCCCCAAAGTGAACCTGGAGGAGATTTTTTTTTTGGCGAGAGAGAGAGAGTGGGAGGGGCACCTACCCCTTCAAGCCCACGACCACGGCCGCCGCCTCTTCTTGTGCACAAGGGGACGTTGTGTGCTTCGTGCACACGCATGGCCGACACGAGAGGCTCCACTTCCTCTGGCGGCGGCGATGACAGGGGCAGAGAAGGCCACGATGACTTCACAGGGGGCGGCCAATACAACAGGTACCATAGGATCCTTGAGGCCGTGCCGTCACCCCTTGTTAGGCGTGAGAATGGTGTGCATCATCAGTACCCCACTGGCCTAATCCACCACCCGTCGTCGACAATGCCGGTGGCGCCATGCTCCTACGTGCCCCGGTACACCATGGTGCCAACATCCGCCATGCTCCCGCTGCAGCACCACCACCGCCAATTGCAGATATCTCAAGGTTAGTCTTCTCCTAACCGCCATATACATCTTGTTGCACCACGATCATCTGCACTTGTTGAATTCAGCACGAAGATATTTTCCCCATAGGGCTTCGTCTAGGTCAGTCTAGGGTTTATTGTGCATGTGGGGCCTATGTTTTTTCATGGTTCCTGCTACCTACATATAAGATCCGGTGTCTCTCTTCCCTTGCCACTGTTCCTTGCATGTCAGGTAGGGTTTCTGTCTCATTAGAATCACGCATGTTCTTGTGAGCATAAAAATCATTCTACAGTTTGAGATCCACTGCAAGTCTGCAACAACATGGTAACTAGGATCTTCAATGTAATTCATGTATGTTATACATCATCTTGCATTTCTTATGGTCAGTGACGACATATATAGATAGCAATTATGTACAGCATATATATACCATCTTGCATCTCTTGCTCTGGTCAGTGTTACTATTCCTGCTTATTCTTTAATTCCTTATCGTCTTGTGTCCTTATATGTTATTTCATCAGTTTTGTTTGATTTTTCTTCAGAAAACTTCCAAGACCGAGTTCCCTCCAATAATGTTGCAGCTCCGCATCTTCCTAGCAATTTTCAGGATTTGAGGCCAATGTGCAATGGGCCGCCATTCATGTCTTATGGCCAGACTGCTTCCAATAGAAATGTTCTTTATCAGAATCTGACGCCATACTCCTTCAATGCATGGGCTAGCAATAACATGCCGAGGAACCCTGTCTACACTAGTTACCACCCTACTGCAATTGAGGATCCCCATGCTACTCCATTCCACATCAACAATCATGACACAGACCAAGGTTATATACATGCATGCATGGCCTTTGATGAACATAGTACTTAGTGGTTGTAAAAGGTTTATCTCCTTTACTAGTAGCCCTATTTAGATTAGTTCACTACTAGAAAAATGATTTTCGCAGACGGGGCCCATTTCAGTATTTCACTAAGCAGGAGGGCCAAAATTTTCCTCCCAAATGGCCGCCTGCAATGTTGTGGGGGGGGGGGGGGGTGGATGGCCGTCCACCTAACATAAAGGGTTATTTCCTTTAGAAGATTTAAGAGTAGATTTCAGAGGGCAATGCATTGATTAGTCCACCATGAATTGATTATTTCACAATGCATTTCATCCAAGTGTGCAACTATATGGATGTCAGTGTTACTACTACTTATGGGGTGGATGGCCGTCCACCTAACATAAAGGGTTATTTCCTTTGGAAGATTTAAGAGTAGATTTCAGAGGGCAATGCATTGATTAGTCCACCATGAATTGATTATTTCACAATGCATTTCATCCAAGTGTGCAACTATATGGATGTCAGTGTTACTACTACTTATGCATTTCCTCACCTCTGAGCATCTTATTGTGCAGGTTTCTTCACCGTTTCTACTAGCTTCAGGGTGGATCAATCATTTGTACATGCTCCTTCACCCTTTCCACCAGTGTCTTCATCATCCCGCAGTTTCTCTTCAGCTCAAATTTCAAATGGACCGATAGACGCTAAGAAAGCCAAGAAATCAGATATAAAAGTAAGACTCTTCTAGAGCATGTTGATATATTCTGGGTTCACATGAGCAGTCCTGACATGAGATTTCTACAGGATCAACCAATTGTTTTAAGAAGAAGTGATACGGAGAGTGAAAAAAATGATGAACTAGATCAAACTCCGGCTAGTGAGCCTTCAAGCATGAGTCATAACAGTGCAAATTCGACTATTGTAAGTAACATGATGCCTTGGTGATGATGGCATCCATATATCCTGAATACTACTATTCTCTATTTGGTACATAAATAAATGCATTTTGTAACTTGATAACTTAATTGTTCCATTGATAGATTAAAAGTTGCAGGAACAATTTCATTATTATTTTTAATTAGGATAATGGCAACTATTCCGCAATTTTCCAACTAACTGCAATCATTAGTACCATAGTTTAGTAGTCAGATCTGAACCACCTATACAATCATTGTTGACTGCAGTTTACATTGACTTCAATCAATTTGTTCTGCATGTATCTTGTTAATTAGACTGCTCTTGTGAGAGCCTTGCTCTGTATATGTAAATTTTGCTTCTATCATAATAGAACAGAGGACTTCTCCCACACCCACTTTGGAAGGGACATTAACTTCAAACTGAACTAACTCTGAATTTTCTAGCAGAGATTCAACTGTAGAGAATACCGTGTTATCTTGCGCAAGGAGTTGACAAATAGTGATGTTGGTAATATTGGAAGAATTGTGATGCCAAAGGTAAAATATTGTATATTCTCACATTAATATATTATATCTACAACAAATACAGTTCTAGCATGATCCACATAACTACGGTGCAATATATTTAGTTACGAGTCTTGAGACTTGAGAGTCGAGTGTAATTTTATTATCTTCAAATTTTGTAGAGGGATGCAGAGGCTCATCTTCCAGCATTGCATCAAAGGGAAGGTGTGATGCTGAAAATGGATGACTTCAAGCTTGAAACTACTTGGAATTTTAAGTACAGGTAATCTTATCATAATATCATATTACTAGTCTAGCAGAGTTGTGTGCAGCACCAGATCAAGTTCGAATATTATGTAATGTGGTACAGTGTTAGAGAGTTGGTATATCTGCCTATTACTCCCTCCGTTTTTTAATAGATGACACCGTTGACTTTTTCTCACATGTTTGACCATTCGTCTTATTCAAAAATTTTATGCAAATGTATAAGATATAAATCACACTTAAAGTACTATGAGTGATAAAACAACTCATAACAAAATAAATTATAATTACGTAATTTTTCGAATAAGATGAATGGTCAAACATGTGAGAAAAAGTCAACGGCGTCATCTATTAAAAAACGGAGGTAGTATTATCTAATTCAATCCTATCTTGAGAAAGTATTTTACATTATCAAGTGCATGTGGCCTCATTTCAGCATGCAATCCAAATAGTTATAAATAATCTTAAACATAGAATAGAATATATAATGGTGTTGTCTATCGGTGCACAGATATGCAATTTGATCTACGCATAGAGAAACAGTACAGCAAATCAGACTATGGAAAGTGCAATCACATTTTTAGTTGACTTTGTTAATCTGTTTCTCTCTCTGTAGATAAAAATTTGACCTTTACAAACAAGCAATAGGTGATACAATCATCTGCGTTGTCACTTTTTTTTTTCAAAATTTTTCGTAATTATTTGGGTCACATGCGAGAAACACAAACATATATGGCTTGTAATCCGCTACATATTACTCATAGGAGATACCTTTCAGGTTCTGGCCCAACAACAAGAGCAGAATGTATGTCTTGGAAAGCACGGGTACGTTTAAACATTGAAACATATACTTTTGGATTTTTCTTAGTTTGTACTGGAGCTGATGAATTGCTCTCTTTAGGTGGCTTTGTGAAGCAGCATGGTCTCCAGACAGGGGACATATTCATCATCTACAAAAGCTCGGAGTCTGAGAAATTAGTACGTCGATCGTAACCCGAATTCCTTTTGTCACCCCCATAATCTATTGGATTTCTGGTTTCTACATATGGCTAATCTTTATGAGAAAATCCAAGAAATGTATAGATATTTTCCTGAAGTTGTATTGCTGATATTTCCATATATGTTGCCTTATGCCTCTACTGTGCTGGCTCTTTTGAAGGTTGTTCGTGGGGAGAAGGCCATTAAGCCGAATGTCATCATGCCTATTGTGGACTGCAGCTGCAAAAATGATCTCAACAACAGCGAAGAATGCGGGTTCGCTATCAGCCTGCTGACTAAGAAAACCTGATGTGGAATGGCAGCTTCATGTCTTGAGACCATCATCTGAAAGCCTCATTACAAGGCAATGCATTTTTGTTATTGGAGAATGTGTTGCCCCACACTTTTAACTTCATAGATAAAAGTACAAGACTATGGATTATTATTTAGTAACTCTTTTTTTTTCCAAATAATAGTCCACATCAGAGATTGCAACAGCGAAATAGATAGAAACTACCTTTAACTCATAGCTGAAAGTCTTAAAGCCATCGCCATCGGTAGTAGCTTGTGTTGTACCTTTAACAGTTTGTTGCAGAGCAACCGATGGTTTCGTTTATATTGCTGTTGTGCTGTGGGATTATTACTTCTGAAGTTGCTGAAGTTTCTGGAGAAAGATGAAAATTTGCTTTGGTAACATGGAGCCATGGAGGTAACTAGGTAAGAACAATTGTAATCAGAGAAGGTGATCACTATTTTAGACAGCTAATGTTGTGATTGGACTTGGCTGTCGTCTGCTAGATCCTTTCGATTCAACAGGATGGATTGTGATTTTAGGGAGTGTTGGTGTGACGACCTAAGTGCACCCTATTTTAACTTGAGCTTCATAGGCACAAACTAAAGCATAGGATCAAAAGTATCGTGTGAAGACAACATAGTGAAACATAGAGCTTCAGTGTTTAAACATCTATCATCATAGAGCCTATGACTGGTTACAATTTGCTTGTCACCTTTACAAGAAGAAGTTTGCTTCGGTTTCTGTAAGATCCCTATGTGAACCATATCATATACATTTCTTTTCACTGTCTCTTTTTTAAAGAGTATACTGCTCTTCCTGATTTAGTAATGTGCTACATAGACTTTCCCTAGGGAAAAAGCTAGATTGACAATGAGAAGAGCTGAAGTGGAGGGTTTTTTTTTTTAACAATGACAGAGGCACTGCCTTATTTATTTATTTATTTATTTTTTTAAAAAAAAGCTAAGCTAGATTGACAATGAGAAGAGCTGAAGTGAAGGTTTTTTTTTTGTTTTTTAGAAACAATGACAGAGGCACTGCCTTATTTAAAAAAAAAGGCTAGACACTGGGGAAGTACCAATGTCGAATTTATTAAAAAAGGGGATGAGCGAGTCCGGCCAGAGTCAAACGCAGGTCGCGGAGAGCACAACGGCTGCACCATGGCATCTGCGCTACGTGCAGTCTATTTCATTGATAAAGAAGAGATACACATCGACCCTAGAAAGGTTCAAACCGAAAACACCATCGTACAAACACCTCAATCTCATACCCTAAAGCTCCACTAAACACCTGAAAACACCAAAGCTGGATGGAGTTTCATGATTAGCTTTGGCAAAATGGTAATCCTCTAGAAGAAACAAAGCCCAAGGCTAGAGTCCTAGGATCAACACTAGATGGACATCAAGTCTCAGTCAAAATTCGCCTAAAAAAATTATCTTCCTACAAGGCTTGTAATAAATATGGTGGTGGCTAAGGGAGTTGATAGTGGAGGCGGTTGCAAGTTAGCCAGGCGTTTTGGAGGGGCGTGTTCCAGCGATGTGCAGCCATAGAGTCCACCGTGCTATGACACTTGTCACTGAGATGGCTAGGCGGAGCGGCGGCAACCCTAGGTAAAGCAATGACCGAAGAATATTTGAGGTTTTATCTTCTAGCCTTGTTTTTATTGTTATTTTATTGTGTTGTTCCTTAGTTATGAGACATGGAGTCTAAGTATTCCTATAACTTCTAACTGCGTATTCCCACTTATAGGTATAGAAGCCGTATATATAAAAAAATCATCTGTATAGGTAGTTGGATGTGAAAACGATAATGAGTGAAGTTGTCATGAAAACCAAATCCTATGTTACATTTCTTTTTTTTTCCAAGTAATTAACAATAAATTTTAGAAGTAAAAGTAAAAACGTTGGGATTAACATCTGATTATACAGGTTCGCACCTAAACGGTTGTTTGGATATGCAGGACTATTCTGACATGACTTTGTTTTTGGACCATGGCGCCTCACCAGCTGTTTCAAGAGCTGAAGGAGGAAAAAAAAATCTAGTGCATGGCCATCCAAATCAACCATCTGAGTGATCCGATTCGTTTGATCAGCATGGCAAAGTATGCAATCATATGGCCTATTAGCCACACAAACCTGGCCTGACAACGACTATGCCGATCGAATGTATGACACTCTCACTCTCCAACCGCAACTACTTCCTCCTTCCTCTCAAAATATAAAATATAAGAGATTTAGTCCAGATTCGTAGTGCTAGAAAGTGTCCTATCTATTTAAAATCTCTTATATTTTAAGAGGGTGGGAGTATCTTCCTGTGCATGGCTTCCTCCAAAATCGCCTAAAGATTTCTTTTTCAGTGATAACTCACCCAAACTTTCTCATGTACAACAGCGAACAGTTTCAGAACTTCAGATAAGTATAGCTGTCTTTACGCATCCAAAATCACTCACTCCATCTATGGTGCGTACTAACAACAGTATAGATCACTAGGCCCCTGTTTGAGACAGTGTTTCCCAAACCACCGGGTCCGGGGTTATCGCTCCCTGGCGGTAAGCACCGCGGTAACCGTAGCAAACCGTACGAAACCATGTAAAATTTATCAAAATTTTAAATTATTTCTTTAATTTATTTGAATTTAAGGAGGTTATCGCGGTTTTCCTTTTACCGTACCCCGCGATAACCGCACAGTTACCGGCGGTTTTGCAAACCCTGGTTTGAGATAGCTTTTTCTCCTGATTATTAGTGCGGATTGTTTATTTGACCAACGCGATAAACTCTCGAATGGATGGTCTAATCAATGCAGTAGAAAAAGTTATTTGAGAAATCGTATTTTTCCAAGAGTGGAGCAGATAATCCATAGCAAAAAAAAGAAAACCCTGAGAAAAATATCTATAAAGAACAGTGTAGAGATTATGGGTATCATATACCCACATGGCTGCACTATCCGACTGACTATATGGGATAGATCATATGAATAGAATATGTATAGGATTAGGACTTGGGTGTTATATTTATTTGTGTATCAAGGAAACATGTTCTTAGTTTGGTACGATTGTAAAGTAGTTATAGAAATGTAAATTATCTTGTAAACTTGCCTCCTCTGACTATATAAGGAAGGCAGGGTGTCCCTTTAGGGCATAACCACACTGAAGATCATCAGATTAATACTACAATCGGCGGATTCAATCTCCAAACAGGAGTAGGGTAGGTCTGAACCTATCTAAACTCTTAGTCTCATAACCCATCCACTTTTTTCTTGTGCGTTACCCTTTTCATATTGCCGAATTATAGTTTCGATAAACAGGGTGCCATTTGTGGTACCGTCCAGTGTAACGTCCACTTTAGTCTGAAGATTAGCACATCAATTTTTGAACAGTTTTCAGATTGGCATCTGCATATCTGATATATATGGATGATACGATGAGTTTTTTGAGTCACCATTTATAATTTCACCTTGAGCCGTGAGTGACACTACAACACAGGCTCACGAGGAGCTCTGCCGAACGCACCAGAGGCCTCGACGGCTACAGATCACCCTAAAAATTCCCGGCGACGGCGACAAGCCCTAGCTAGGCCGGCGGTGGTGGGGACGACGGCGACGCTTTAGCTGATGCTTCTCGGCAGCAACTTCACACTACCACATTTCCTGCACTGGCTCTGCTTATCCCTGCAAATGCCTCGTGATCTGCTGCCTCTGCTGGTTCACTGCACTTCCACTCCTCCCGTCGCTTTCAGCATGATAGGTTAACGCAAGAACACAACAAGAACTGCAGATGACACTGCATTCTGCATATTTTACATTGTATACAGTTGTGGTGGTGAGTGCTGGCATGAGGACCACTGGTAGCTCAGCTCTAGGCTCTGTTCATGCAGAAAGATATGTAAAAGAAATTTCTGAAAATTATCAGATGGTGGTTGTGTGGTCGCCATAACAGTGCTCCTCTGATGTTTGTCAAGTGCAAAGCCCTGCTCTTGCATAGTTTAGTGATCATAATTGAAGCCTAGGGCAGCAGCTAAGTGTGCCTACTGACCTTAAGCAAAGACTTGTCCATGGCACAGGTGTTACTACCAGGGATGATCAGGGTGTCTGAAGTTGCAATAACAATTAGGATTTGTGTGGCATCTTGTGGTATAGGGGTAGTAGGATTAGTAGTAGCCTTTACAGATTTAAGTGCAAGTTCCAGTCATGTTGGATAATGGAGTTTGTGAGGACTAGCCAGGAGTGATAGGATAATTCATGAGAATGAATTCAGGCCTGGAAATCTGGTGTGTAAGCTAGCCGATTGTAGATGACTGTGACAAAGAAAAAATGTGATGAGACAGTAAAAAGCAGATTAATTTGGAACTTGTAGCTGCCTTTCACGCAACGCAATATATACAATGTTCTGCCTTACCAAATCACAATCATTCAGTTGTTCTTGTAGCAAGGATGGTTCAGTTTCATGGCCCTTTCGGCAGTGCGATGCGAGGAACCATGCCATGCCGATGAAGTGGTTCAGATGCCACTTTCAGTAGCCATTATGAACAAATACTCATATCAGCCTCATTTCAGAAGTAACTGGATTGAATGTGGACAGAAGTGGTTAAACAATAATACTAACATAGAGAGCATATATCAGCTGATGAGAAGCATCATATACAAATACATATACTCCTATAATCTTCAAAATATATTTTGTCAAGTTAACATCATTGATGCACTTTATGAGGTATCAGGTAATAATAATCAGTACTCCAGGAAGATGATGACTTAAACTACTGACCAGTATTACTAGTATTACTACTACTTCAACAGATCAGGAATTGATTCTGCTTATGTCATACTGAAAGCAATACTGCACGGTTTTCAGAGCAAAGTACGCATATACAAGTACAGGTACTGATAGCAACAGAAAATCTCGACATTACTCTGAAAAAAATGCTCTCCGGGCATCATATGTCAAGATCGACAGAAATGTTCCATTGGTGTCATCTCAGAGAGTTGCAGCCTTTACATTTCAAGAAAGTCTTTGGTCCTCTGCAGTTCAATGATTTTTCACCACTTAGGATTTCTTCGTCGCTGCATATTGAAGGACTGAAGGAATCAAGGAATAGTTTGTGAGAAAGGTTCACATCAAAAAAATCAATTCTTTCCTGACCATTATGAGTTGTATATATGCAAACATGGACCATTATATATGTGGGGTTTTTTTCTCCTCATTATTAGCACCCTATGCATCTAAGATTTGTTACTCAAATGAGTTGTTGGTTATCCATTTCAAACAGTGAGCAAATAGATAGCAACATTAGAACAGTGGACCAATTTGGTGGCATGGTCATTGACCTGTGGCTGACATTTAAACAACACAGCCACAATGTGGCATCCAAACAGTATAGATATAATCACAAGCACACCCACTACCCACCAGAATTAACTCCATAGGAACTTTGGACAATTAGCACTGTTATAATCAGTAAAAGAGCTGTAGGAAAAGGAAAGGAGGAGAAAGAGAAAGCTAAGAACAAAATGCCAGGCCACCACAGCTGATAAAGGAGAGCCTAACAACAAAGTACCAATTCAAAAACCATCACTTCAGCACATTAAGGTCATCTGTCTAGCAGCTTCCATAGCACCACCATCCACCATCCATCCATTCATTCTGGAACCTCCACATCCTGCAAATTCCAAGATGGATGGAAACAAAATCGTCAATTTGATGGTCCTGCCCACTTGTCAATGACACATGTCACAATAGGAATCTTGTTTTCATGGAAAAACAGTCGAATTTGAAATTTCAGAACTCCCAAGTGACTGAAAATTATGCTGGTTCAAACACAATCAAAAGGAGTTATTAGTCTACATCCAACCATTGGTAACTGCATGTGCTTTCTGATCTGTACAGTTCCTATTCGAAGCAAAGAACCTATAAAAAAAAGGAAGATGCTTGTAACTCAAGGTGCTTCTTTAGTTCTTCTTTTTCAACATAAAGGGTGCCATTACCCTGTATTCAGTGAACTACTGAAGATCCAGAAATTCAGAAACAAAATTTACCCACAGTCAAAACTAAAGGTCAGATCAACGTGGAAATAATCAAACTTTAGATGTGATGATCCACGAGTTAGATCCTAATGGCACCGAAAGGGAAAGAAGTGGGCCGGACTGCGAGTGCCGAAGCCGACCATTTCCTTTTCTTTCTTACTTAAAGTTACAACGCCAACAGCTTAAGCGGCAACCGACCGAGCACGCGCACACGACAGGTCATGCCGGGTAAGCATCAACGAATTAATCATGGATTAACTGATCATTACTGTTTAATTTGAGTTTTAAGCTTCTAAAATAATTGTGTTTTTACCAAAAACAACAACAAATGGTTTTTCGCAAATACGTAAAGATTGCACGTCTATATATTAGAAGAGATTGTAATTAATATAATTGCGAACAGCTACAAATGGTAATTAATATTTTTTTGATTATATTAATGGTAAGTTACTAGATTGAATGAAAGATTTATTTATTTATTATTTTTAATGTAAGTTACCTGAAGATGATGATACGATTAGCCCGGCTTCCTCCGCTCCGGCGATCTCTTCGGCGAACAATGAAAAACCAAAGATGATGAAAATTTCTATATGTATTGTACGGCGGAGGGGAGTGGATCGGAGGGAGCTTATTGCCGGCCGAAGGAGTGGCGATTCTTCTTGATGAAATCGTCGAATCGCCGGTTCATCTCCTCCGCTCCGATCGACGGGTCGCGCGCTCGCGGCGGCGGCGGCCCTGCGGGAGGCGCCTTCTGCGCCGGAGGGGCCGCCATTGCCGGCGCGGTGGCCGGGCGCGTCTTCTGCATGATGGCGTTCCACGTGGCGTCCAGGTCGTCGTCGTCGTCGTCATCGGCGGCGGCGGCGGCGGCGTCCCTGCCGCTGTCGACGGCCGGGAGCGGCACAGAGAACTCCCGCTCGAGAACCGAGTGTTCCTGCGGCGGCGGCGCAAGGCTCCGCCTCTCGTCGGAGGTGTACGACGCGGCGGTGGACGCGTCCTCGTCGGACTCCGTGGTCACGCAGGACTCGCCGCCGCCGGAGTCCGGGGAGATCTCCGGGGAGGCTTCGTGCTCCGGCATGCCGCCGCCGCCGCCGCCGCCGTACACGGCCGCCGCGGCGTTGAACTCCTCCTTGGGCTTGACAACAAGCGATGGCGCATCCTCTGCCGCGGCCACTGGAACAGCCGGATGCGGGTGCGGCCATGGATCCTTGAGCTGCTGCTGCTGCGCCTGGAAGTGCTTGTGGTCGGAGAGCTTCCAGATGACGAGGATGATGAGGTGCACGGTGACGAACAGGTACGGCGGCACGAGCCACACCCTCGCCGCCGCCCACACCCGCGGGAACACGGCGCCGGCCACGGACACGAGCTGCGGCACGGCGAGGCGCGCGAAGGAGCCAGCCCCGGCGACCGCCGCCGCCGCGAACGCCACCTTAGCCGCAAGCACCGTCGCGGCCATCCCTCCACCGCCGCCCCCGCCACGTCGCCGCGAGGCGTAGCTGTACGACATGGTGGTTGGTCTCGTCGGCGTCGGCGTCGGCGAGGATGGCGAAGTGATGGGCAGCGAGCGGGTGAGGGGGAGCGGGTGCGCGGCTATTTATTGGGGGGAGAGTGGTTGCCATTGCCAAGTTGGAATTCAAAATTCGGGGGGATTTTAATTCGAAACCAATAATAATCGCAATAATTTGCGCCCCGATTTCAATCATTTTTTTTAAATAACAGGATACTATTACTACTGTATTAATGGTGATTCTTTGGTAGGGTGAGGGTCCCCTTGTGATAATGAAGTGAAGGAAAGTGATGGATCATGTATGGGGGCAGTGGTGATTGCATCCATTGTTGGACCTAAATCAAATCAAATTTGTTTCTTAAGATAATCATGTGCATCTTGCAACCATTTAAATTGCCAATTAGTACTACCTCCGTCCCAAAATAATTACAATTTTATGTTATTTAGCATATATTAAGGTTTGAGAAAAAAGACTATGGTGTCTCTCATTAAATGTTGTTTATGTGAGAGTGGGAAGATAGTTGAGGGTAAAATAGGGAGAAATTTGAATGAGATATGATTGATGGGGCAATTAGTACTCTAGAATTACAATTATTTTAGAATAAATTTTAAATCATAGAAATGCAATTATTTTGGGACGGAGGTAGTAGTAATTTGCAAGACAGATTAACCAGCTGTCGGCACTGGCACTGTTGTTACCTGCTGACATTGCAACGAACAATCGATCTCATTAATTTTTTCTTGAAAGTTCATCGATCTGATTAATTCGATCAATCAACTAAATTGCAGAAGCTTGAGTTCCCCGATTTGACTACAGGAAGTATGGGAGGATGTAGTGTACACACAAGGGCTGTCAGAAAAGTCAACTTCTCCAATTAAACAACACCTATTCTTGGATCACCGTACCGGTCGATCCAGATCAACCTAACGATCCAATGCTAATATGAGGGTCGTTGGTCAATGGCCAAAGTTAATTATTCCAGGACACAAGTGAACAGGCAGAGCAGTTAGAAACAGAAAATGATGAAACGCAATACACCTGGCCTGTCTTTAACCTAACCGTTAGGACTATATCACATTAATAAGTGAATAAATTACGATTTACCTGCTCAACCATCACATGAACTGATGAACAAATTTCCTTGGATTTACTAGTACAGTATCAAATTAGCAATGACTTATCCAGACATGAGATGCATGATGAGATATTAGTAGGATATGTGGGTGGTGGACAGAGTAGAGTTTCCTCCGCTTTTGCCTTTTCGGGAAAAGCGAAGCAGCAGCTAGCGATTTGTTGGTTTGCAGCAAGCTAATCTCTGTAGGTTAGAGCAAGGCTAATAATACAGCCGACCTGCTGGCTATAAGGTTCTTTATAGTCTTCTCTCAGCCTACCTATATAATAGTTAGCTCTTCACAATTAATACAGGGCCCACTTGTCTCTCTCATAGAGTTTCTTGGTTCTTGTGTCCAAGCCGGCTATAAGTTTATAGCCCGCTTCTCCTCTCTCTCCTCTCTTCTTTCCTCCAACTTAGCATTTAGCCGGCTTATAACCTACTATTATACTTGATCTTATTAGAGCACCCGCAATGGTAAAGTAAGGTCCTATCTATAAAACATGTACATCTCAGCAATAGACTAGAATAATAGTAAACCATCTCAATAGTATGTCTACATGGGTATCTATAGCTCTCTAATACATTGTCTCGTTTTTCTCTATAGACTATCTCCAGGTTAGTAGATAGCTTTGCTCTCTCTCTTCATTTAATCTCTTCTAAGTAGGAAAATATGCTGACATGGATCTCTTATAGAGAGCCTATAGATAACCATTGTGGGTGCCCTTAGCGGAGCAGCAGGTGTTCTAGATGCTTCCTGCCTCGTCGGCCATGATGCCCATGCAGCATGCACCGATCTACTACCAATCACCATGGCGAAATGGCGAGTGACCTCACATCACCCAGGGCAAATCGTCTGCTGTACTGCACCTCTAGTAGGTGTCACTGACATGTGGGTCCCACCTGCTTCGGGCCCCACATGTCAGTGACACCCACCGCATGTGCATTACAGCATAGGATCTCCACTCCACATCACCCAGCATCCATCGATCTGTCCACGGCGAAATGGGCCGTCCATTACGTCGCCGGCTAATTCAGAGTTTCAGACATTATTATCGTAAGAAAAGATTCAGAGTTCAGATTTGTTGCGTGCGTTCGTCGGCTTCAGAAAGTTCAGAGCGGCAGATTGTGCAGATCGATGCAGCCCATGCCAAGATCATCAATTCATCATCAACCTTTTTCTCTATACTTGTAGATCATTGGTTCGGATTATCATGGCACGTTTTTGCAAGCTGAAATGGTGGGGTTTTTTTTATAAGAAATTATCATCGGTGTTTCTTAAAGTATTTTGTTATCATTCTTTTTAACTTTTAAAACAATTAATACTTTATTCATTTGTGTCATCTACTAATTATTATGAATCATCTTTAAAATTAATTATTATGAACTCAGCATTATCTTTTTTTAATAATAGAATAAACATTCCGGCCTTTGTGCTCGGATATTAGAATTCAGCGATGCAAAATATGTAGGGGAGGATCCACCATCCAGTGCCCTGGCTCGTCGGTCTGAAGTGTAAATGTGCAATGGATTTAAAATGTTTTTCATTGCGAGCAAATATTTCATACTTCATACGATTCATATTTTAAGTTATTTTGACTTTTTTTCTAATCAAATTTATTTAAGTTTAACCAAGCTTAAGTAGCATTTTTAACACAAAACAAACAAACTATTAAAATATATTCAATGAAACTAGTTTGGTGTTCTAAATATTGCTATATTTTTCTATGAAGTTGATCAAACAAGAAAATAAGTCAAAATGACTTATAGTTTTTCTTTTTGGATTTGCCATTAATAATATGTGTATCTTTTTGGGACTATGATTTTGAGACTGAATTTGGAGAAAACCTCACCAATTTAAGCGTCGTTGTAGTCACTCCCGGAGCGGCCGGCCGAAACTGAATGCAGATTATAGAAACAGATTGATTGATGGCGACCTGCATTCACATCCGGGAAACGATGGAGACCAGTTCGTCAGCGCGATCCGAACATGTACGACGGGTCGGACTCGAACCGATTCAGGTCAAGCATGGCGGTCTCGTCCCTCAAAATACGTGCGTTATCGCGATCGAACGACAGAATTGATTACGTCGGTCACTGTCCTAATCGTATGGGATTTACCTGAATATATCTCCCGCGTATTACAGCTACTACCTCCGTCCCAAAATAAATACAGCCGTAGATATCCGTGCCCAACGTTTGACCATCCGTCTTATTTGAAAAATTTGTGAAAAAATTAAAAATATTTAGTTACATATAAAATACTATTCATGTTTTATCATCTAATAGCAATAAAAATACTAATCATAAAAAATTTTCAAATAAGACGAACGGTTAAACGTTGAACGTGAATAGTGCAAAACTGCATTTATTTTGGGACGGAGTGAGTACCATACTACTACTATTGAATGCAGGTCAATTCTAACAAAAATGAATGCTTACTACTCCTTCCATCCTAAATTATAAATTCTATATTTTTAAAAAGATTTTAATGATATGCTTTGATCAATAATTTATTTCATATTCCTATGAAATTAGCATTACATTAAAATACTTTAAAATATGAATTTAGTGATATAACATGTATAATATTTAGCATAGATATAATTAGTATGATCATTAATAAAAAAATATCAAGTTTGATATTCCTAGATAATGATGTTATATAATTTGAGACGAAGAGAATACTACTAGCTAGCTTGCTCCAGAAGCTCTATGCATTTTTTTAATTCTTTTCTGAAAGGAAAATACATTATGCAATTTTGCACGCCGATTGATTTAGACTTTTATCCTACATTATCTATTTGTTATAAAGATAAATTAAATATTTTAATAAATAAAAAATAAGGAATTTCTTAACAAAATAAGTAAAATATTTTTGTAGAAAATTAATAATTTTTAAAAATCATAAAACGAATAAATAATCCGTCTCGATAATCTAATGAGCTATCAGAAAGAACGGGCTGTGATTTAAGTGATATTTTTTTAAAAAAAAAAATGGAAACGAGGTATTAATTTATTCCGGAGGAGACGAACACTACCCTAGCTGATCGATCGTTTTATTCTTCAGTTCCACTATATTTGTCAATAATTATTGTTCGCATCAGGGAATAATTTTTATTCGCGCCGTTTGCAATCATATGAATGGACCAAATAGCGTAAGATTAGCCTTTGTTGATGCCCTATGTTTGCTTTACTTAATCATACAGTGCCCTCTAATTAATTTGTTCTGACTAAAATATTAAGAACTAATTTTAAATAAGTATGACTCGATGAATTATAGTACTGTGAGTGAGTGTGAGATAGTATAAAACTAGCTGATCGATATGATACTGAACAGGAAGCAAGTTATATACATATCGATAGGTGCATGCTTGTACTTGCTCCATTCTATTTTTCTTTTTAAAAAAGAAAGAAAAGGAAAGAAAGGGAGTAAAACTGGATATATTTATGAATTGGTATAGCTAAAGCTTAATTAGTGATGGTTTTGTTTAGCTTAAAAGAATGATTAGTTCAAACGCGAACCCTAACCACCATAGTTTGGTTCCCTTCCGTACATTCCAGATCAACAATGGGTGCTGCTTTATTTTATACTATCCATCTTTAGTTAGCCCTTTATTCCTTGCTTCTCCAAAAATAAATACACACCACGCATCACCAAATAAAGATAGATGATGGTCCATACATGCATACTTGCTGTCAGACCAATCGATTATTATTCAGTTGGAACCACCAACAATAAGCTAATTAATTAATTAGTTACTAATAATTAAGACTGGTTCGAAATATCCAATGAAGGCATATAAAATTACTCCATCCGGTTGATAATACTTGTCGTTTTGGACAAGGGCACGGTCTCCAAAAAACAACTTTAACTATTATTTTCTATTATAATATGTATAAAAGTGTTAACAAATATACGATTTTATTAAAGTACTATTTAAGACTAATCTATACATGTAGTCACTA